CTTACATAAAACCTCAACACTTGATTGGTGGAATTTAAGTATCTACAAAGAACTATCCATCGGATAAAAAAAGGTTTTTTTCATTACTACTTTGGTATCTGTTACCCTTGTAAGAGATCAAAGTAAGAAAATAAAAATGGGAACTACACAAACTTATTCGTTTTTTCTGCGTTGAAAATATATGTATAAAAAAAAAGAAACAGAAAAAAATTAAAACCACAGAAAATAATACAGGCAACTCTGGCTCTACGGAGCAGCGACTACAACGACTATAAAATTTCGAGGACATGGCCTCAATGGCAAGGAAAAAGTTTTGGCTAGGCATTGCAGTGCACGCACAGAACTCGACTCGAAAGTTCTTTACCTTCGAGTGAGCATGGGAGCAAAATACTGTCGCCTTCGTGGTATCTTTTTGCAGGCCTTACATTATAATAGCTACCTTCCTTTTTAAACTCGTCACGTCTGTTTTTTCGTGCGTGAACCCAAAATTGTATTGTTACTTACGAATATGTACAATTACGTGTGATTTTCAAGTGAACTGTTACTGTACGACAATTTGTACAATATTCAGAAGAAACTGAATTATAAATTTAAAATTTATTGTGGGTGTATAAAATAAAAGTCAAGATTTGTTGGATACTCGAGTTTTTTCTTTGATGCTGTAAAATTATCGATATCACAATCGACTCATCCATTCAAGACCTTACAAAATGATTAGTCAACATGATTGATCCCGTAAAGATCATTACTACATTGAACAATCATTGGAGACAAGCTTTTCTATAAAAAAAAATATTGGATAAATAATTCACCAACATCGCAGTGAAGCATATTTCATTTCTTTTACACATAAAATGTCCACTAACAATGGATTTCCGTTTTAAAAAAAAAATTTTTTTTTTTTGCTGGGCGAGGGGTCAACGAACGTCTATATACGGTGTCACTTTCTCTCCTTATAATCGACCATAAAATAATTCGTACATGGCAGCTGCCACGGTGCAGTTTGTGTATAACTCTATACTATCCCCCAGACTGTGAAAAAATTCAATTGTCTACACCTGCTGGCTATCTATTTTTTGTATCGGCTTTGTGCAACTGTATTAGATGTGCACTTTTATATGCGATTCATAAATTTTAAAGACAAGTGGAACTATTAGTTACTTCCTTGCTAAACAAAAAATATATGATGCAGCCCCACTATATAGACATGGTATTGAAAATCACTATTCATAGAAAGTATAGTACAAGCTTTCAAGCTCTGATTTTGTAACAGTCGAACAAACATTGATTCAAGAGGCATAAATTTTGTTTGAAAGTGAGTTTACAATAAAATTATAAACAAAAAAACAGCATTAAAGGTATTAAAGACACAAAATGAGTTATGTTTAGAGTCAATAATTCATATTATGAAAAAATGTAATCTCCCCATAACTTCCAACTTGCTTTTACTGTCCAAATTCAATTGTAACTAAAGACAAAGTGGTCTTCAATTTAAATAGTCCTGACGTTAAAGACCACTTTGTCTTGATTTACAATTTATATTATGGCTACGCATTTCCAATGGACATCAAAATTTCATAAAGATTTATATAAACGAAAAAAATAACTTGAAAAATAGAAAAAATAAAGAAGAAAAAAAAATAGTACAAGGCCTTAGTCTTTCGGAAGTGAAGGGACTCGCGGACGCTTTACACTGCTGTGGGCAAGCTGGGGGTAACATTATTGCGAAACGGCAGTACTGCATCAGCAGCTACTTTTATAATTGCAAGATGGGGGAAAAAAACTGTAATAAAGAGTCCAAGCTACAGTCATACGTGCTAAATGGACGGTATTTAAAATAAACTAGTTCACTTGTATATACATTCATATTAACTTTATGACAATGTCAACCCTATACAAACTTCCTCTGCTGACTCTTTTGTACATACACACGTTAAAATACATCAACTACTAATGGTTTTTTGTAATTGCAAGAAAAAAAAAAAAAAAAAAAAATTCAAGGCAACTTCTTGCTCGAGAGAGCTCTCTGCCACACCGTTTCCTTTTCAAGGACGCGTGCACACGACAACGCGCGCCGGGGACTTTATCCGATCCATTGCTCTCTTTCTCCTTCGCTTACTCGCGCGGGCGAGCCCTTTCATTGTTCGAAAATCGCACGCACACGCGATACAAATACGTATGCTCGTACGTATGTATGTACATACATTATGGCTGTAATAATGCGCAAATGCTGTTGTTTTATATTCATGGGCACGCGTCTCGAAGAGCTCAAGTAGGGTACACGTAGATATAAATATATATATACCATTACAAAGCCAAAGGAGCCGATGGCCTGGTGTACTTATATGTGTGTACCAATGTTCCTTTTTATGGCTATTGTTATTCCATTTCATGGGCGTCACTCGAAACTTTCTCATTGTTCGCATGTTGGTGGGTATATACATTATTAGGTTCGGCAGGCGGTGTCAACGAGACTCTGACTCACTTGTAGGAAGTGAAGGAAAGAAAGAGCTAGGGGTTGCTGTAATCCTTCACCTTTACCCTTGATCTGCGTCGAGTTGTTGTTTCGGTGCGTATTGTTTCGATAATTCGAGATTCCGAACATCGATTGAAAAGTGATATCGCCTTTTAGTTGGTTTAAGAAAAAAATGTTACTACAAGGTAATAATGTAGGTTGTAGATGACGATTAGATAGATTAGAATATTTATTTTAAGTAATTTGTTATGCAACAAAATTGTTTCAAGTTACCAAAATTTTTGCAACAAGAAGAACTAAATTTCAAATTAAAGTATAGGTCCATCATTGGTAAAGAAAAAAACTCTAATGAATAAAAAATTCTAATGAGTTTAAATTTGTAGATTTTTAAGAATTTTCCTTTAATATTTTTAAAGATTTGTATCTTTAAAAAAGTAATAACGAAGTAAGACTGTATTTTCTGTTTTTATACGTGTGTGCTTTTTAGTGTGTTGATGGGGTACAGAAAAAAGAACTGCTCTAATTTTTAGGATTGCTGTAATTTAATAGTAAAAAATGTAATCATTTTTTCTGTATCGTGTACCCATGTGACAAACTGTCTTTAATTTCATATTTCATTTGAAGTCAAATTCCATTGGAAAGTAAATTACCCTAAGATTTTTTTGTCTGAAAATTTTGGTGATTTTATATCAAGTAGTGATTTTTTTTAACCATATCAATGATTTTTTATATCATAACTTAAGAAAAAAATTTTTTCATCACATAAAATAAATACTTAAGCAAAATGGCTCTTGAGAAATCTTATATGTTTTTCTAAAATATAAATATCGTTATCTTATCTACGTTGCATAACTATTAATAAAATTATTTTGAGAATCTACTTTTTTTTACCCTAGTTTTTCAAAAACGCAAGCATTTTTGATAATGTAATAATTTTTTTTAAGGCTTATCTCCACATAAAACGTGGGCGGACTTTGTCTCAGAACTTGGCCCGTTTCCATGTGACAACACTCAAGGCCCCAAACGATCTTTTAAGAAATGTATTCTCGATGGTTGTTTACAAAAACCAAATTACTCGTAGGAGCGACCAAAACAATTTCAAGGCTCGGTACGAAGAAAAAAGACACCAGCCCACAGTACAAAGATTTCGGAGACCATTAACAAAATCACGAAGCAAAAGCGAAAGGATGAGAGAAAGAGGCTCTCCCCCCCGCCGACACGTACAAGGAAGTAGAATCCGCAGCAACAACGCCGCGTAAATCAGATCCGGAGCGAAAAGCGTGATTCACAATAGCGGCGGCGCGCGTGCCTCACGCCTCCACTACTCGTACTCTTTCTCTCTCCCTCTCTCTTCCGAGTGATGTGATTTATGCACGCGCAAAGCCGCCGAAAAAGCTTTCGGCGCGCCGGGGATATGATTTATGTCCCATTGGCTCATTGTTTCACCGCTTCGCATACTTATGTTAAAGTTGCTTATGGTGACATGCCTTTTCTTTCGATTGGTGCTCTTTTCTTTTCTTTTTTTATTTTAATCTCAATGATGACTAGACGGTGTTGTGTATGTCCGTTTTAGCAAAGGTGTGTTGTCTCCCGGGCGGGCATCGTGTTCCTCGTCGAGGCTTCAAAAGTAAACGCGTGATCTAATTGAAAGTGAATGTGAAAGGGATCGGCACGAGCTCGTATACTTACGTACGGTGTGCGAGCTCGTTTCTCCGGCGTAAAATTAGCTCGCTCTTTTTCATTTTGCGCGGCAAAGCTGATGTGCGAGCGTATAAGCATATGCGATTCCCGTATACCATGAGTCGATTCAGTGCTAATTTTGCCATCAAGTCGAGTTTTTTTTTCTCACTCCTGTATTATTGTTTTCTTTACTTCTCATTGCTAACCTTTTTTTTTATATTATATAAATGTTAAAATAATCGTGTCTTTGGACAAAGAGGGTAAATTATTCATTTCATCACTAGTGAGGTGTGTCTTGCCTTGTCCGAGAAAATCTGTAAATTAAAAAATACACTCAGCTATTACAATGTTCTTATCATGGGAGATGGAAAAAAGTAATATCTGAGCGTGGTCGGAACTGTCAATTCATTTACAGCTGCTGATTGAACTTCAAACCCGAGCCAAAGCGCGTGCACCCAAAGACAATAGAAAAAGTTGTTCCCACGCGGAGACCCCGGGGCAACTGTCATTGTTGAACTCTGCGCGGATGAGAGAAACATATTTTCCAAGCGCGACATTCGGTATACTTACCACAAGCGTATTAACGAGCAGATAAAACTCACCGCGATTTTCTGCGAAGAACAGAAAAAAAAGGAGTCTCTCTCTCTCCCAGCTTCGGTCGTCCGTCTCGCTTGAGTGCTGAAATTAAAATTCCTTTCCCAACGCGTGCGAGCTGCTATTGTTTCTGTTCTTGTGTTTACGATCGTATATTATGGCATATGGCATACGTCTATGCATATTATACTTACGTGACTTTCACCGTTTTGCGACTCTTGGCAGGTGATGATCTTAAACCCACAGAAAGATGAGACACGAGTGTATGATATTAAAAAAATTACGATGGTCCAATGATGAAATGTGTTTTCTTTGGTGTGTGTTGCAGGCAACGACGCTGCTGCTGCTGACGCTCTGTCTGGTCGCGCTGCTCTCTGGACAGGCGGAAGGTGAGTCCTCTACTTGGTCCACAACTGCATGGTTATGCCACCCTCTCCTTCCTTCGATTTTCTTCTTTTTTTTTTTTTTTTTTTCATTTTCCCAACGACCGTGCAATCCGAGGGCGATAACTCGAGCGTGACGCCGGCAGGATTTTTACTTTTCCACGAGAAAGAGGCGGACAGCGCGTTACGAACGCTGCGCTTGGCGTATTTTTTGTTTCTACCTCTGTCGGTGTCGCGTCGGGCTCTAGTGGTTTTGTATTTTTTTTTTCTCTCCACTCGAAACGGGAGTCGTTTTCCTCCACATGCTTTTTACTCCCCGAGAAAAGTTTTATATAACTGCGAGATTGTGTAGCTCGAGGCGCCACCGTTCGGCTTGAATTATACATAGCAATTATATCGTTACGTCGGCCGTACACATATCGGGAAAGTTTTGTAACCCAACGCGATTTTCATTCTTATCCAACGCACGCCTTTCGGTGGAATCTTCCGTTAGGCTCGTTGGATGATTTTTTTTTTTTTTAATTTAAAAAACTTTTTTGCCTCGTTTGTACATCGTGGTAGACTTTGGTTATTTTGCAAAACAACGTGAAATCGTTTACTTTCTCGTGGACAGTGTTTCAAGTACGTTTTTCTTTCATCGAATAGGTGCGAGGAAACGATTTCGCAGGCCAACGTCCGCGAGGCCTTCGATTTCCAACGATCAGGAGGTGTCCGCCAGCGTGAACAGATTCAAGGTGACGCGCAACCGAATCAACAACAAGGGCACGAAAAATGAGCTCCAGCCGGGAAAAGCATCATCCGAGGACTACAAGGTATGGGTGAAAATTTTCCACATCTCTTCTTCCCATTGAAATATCTCACAGAGTCAACGTCTCGTTAATAAAAGCGCTCGACTATCCTCGCTCGCGGCGCGAGCTTTCACTCGGCGATTTTTCATCATTCGTCACGCAATGCCTAAATACGGCCCTTTCCGCCCGCTCATCGCACCGTGTCTTAAAATTTTACGAGCTCGCATGTGCGCAAGAGTAAAAAATTAAAATAAAAAATGTCGGAGCACAGATCTTGGTGATTCGTCATGCGTGAGATTATCCGCTTTCCGCTCGCGTTGCCACTGTTCAATTCTACTCGCGCGGCTGTTGGATTTTTTTTTTTGGTAAATTCCCTTTTTAGAAGAGCAGGTCCATCATCGTCTCTTTTCGATTGCCAAATTGTACAAGTAAATTTCAAACCTATCGTCGAGCTAATTTTGTATTAACACCACATTCATAAGGACTACAATTAAGTGACACGTGTGCCTCTGCAAAAAGACCGGCAGCTCGTAAGTGCTTTCACCGCGCAGAAATGAAACGATTATCCTCGCACGCATCCCGAGTCCATACCGGTCATGAGCTCGTAAATAAACGAACATGCACGTGCTGCAGCTCAACAGGATGGAGCTCCAAATCGGCAAGACCCGTCCACGCGCTTTGTTACCGATCGCTTCGACTTCCGCCTTTCTTATCTCGATGAAATCTCAATGAAAACTTTTTTTTATTTTGTTCCTTCTGTTCCCCCCAAAAAGGTCGTGTGTTACTACACGAACTGGTCGCAGTATCGGACGAAACTCGGTAAGTTCATGCCGGAAGACATACAGCCGGATCTTTGCACCCACGTCATATTCGCCTTCGGCTGGCTCAAGAAGAACAAGCTGACGAGCTTTGAGTCGAACGACGAGACCAAGGACGGCAAGCTTGGGCTCTACGAGAGAATGATGTCCCTCAAGAAGGCCAATCCTACGCTCAAGGTCCTACTAGCGATCGGTAAGTCCTGCATCCGAAATATCGAGAAAAAAAAAAAAAAAAAAAAAAAAACCATTGTAGTCGATCGAGATTTAATTGGACTGTGCTGTTGGCTTATGAATTTCAGGCGGTTGGTCCTTTGGCACGCAGAAATTTAAAGACATGGCATCGACTAGGTACGCCAGGCAGACTTTCATCTACAGTGCCATACCGTACCTTCGTGACAGAGACTTTGACGGCCTTGACATCGATTGGGAGTATCCTAAGGGCGGAGATGACAAAAAGCACTTTGTGCTTCTTCTCAAAGGTATGGGTGATTCTCTTCATAAATTTTCTAGAAATAACTCATCCAAAAGCTCCACAAATATCCTCTTTAAAAAAATGGAAATTTTTATTTTATAAGAATATGAATAGTACTTAAAAGGGTCGTTACTATTTTTAGGCATGAATCAATTGAATTGGTTGTAAAAAAATTTCTCGACTCGGAACTTTTTCTTCCCACCTCCCTTTCACCGGATGTACAAATATCTCCCAATGATCATCCGACCGTAATTGAGTTGCACGTTCGTTGCAGATCCATCGACCGCATGATGTATTCTAATAACTTTCATCCATAAATGGTCATTTAAAGCAGTTGTTAACTTCTATAAAATAAAGACAAAGTAAAAACGAAGGCGCACTTTTACTCAGAAAAATTACTGTTTGAAACAGAGCAATCCAATAAATTGATTTTAATCTTATGATGCTTCTGAGCAACAAATACTATTGCACTAAATATGACAAAAAGGTAAAAAGTAGTTGTCAAAGAAATGGTTTTAAAAATTTCCATGTACTTATACGTGCAATTGATTTTCCTGCAAAAAATATCAATGTAATAATTTCAAAAAAGTAAAAACACAAGAAATCATGTGACTGTTTGACAGAGCTTCGCGAGGCGTTCGAAGCTGAGGCTCAGGAGCGCAAAAAGCCGCGACTCTTGCTCACGGCGGCTGTGCCCGTGGGTCCGGACAACGTGAAAGCCGGCTACGACGTTCCAGCCGTCGCCAGGTAATAAATTTATTTTTCATACTCACCATACTTGGATATATTAGTACCAAATACGAATCCGCCAATGCGTGTATTCACCGATCAGTTTAACGATGAATTCTTGATAAAACGCGTATGGACGGAGAAAAACAAATTGGAATGATTACCCTTCAATTAACCGTACTGATGGTGATTTACGAGGATGCTGTACACACGGCAGTCTTCAATTGACGCTTCGTATACCGATGTTTTATTATTGAACGAGAGATTTTCTTTGAGATCTGGGGAAAAAGATGCGAGCGGGAGAGAGTCGCTCGTAGGTAACATACACGGGAATCCATGTCGAAATAATTAACCTGCTGGCAGATTTTCTCATGCACTTCTCTCCTTTTAATCGTGTCAATTGAGATGGTTAATCTTACTTTGAGTCGTGGTCGAAGTTATTCTTCGAATTTTACGGTGGCAAGTGTGTAATTAAGTGGGTATTTTTTTTTTTTTTTCTGTGTGTAGCAACTGACTGCATTCATAAAATAGCATGATAAACGGTGGTTATTAATTAGTATAGTACTGCTTGGGAGAAATAAGTTATTGCAAGTGGGTTTTTACTTGTTTTTACTTTGAACTCATGAGATTTTTTTCTTCATACCATTAAACTTGTAACAGTTACAAGTTCTGCATTTTTTTCGAGCATTATCCCGGTGATTCCACTGAAAAATATTTTTTTGTCATTCTAAAGAAAAATAAATTTTTTTTTAATTCTGTGTTCTCGATCTACGTAACAATTTGGGGGTCTTGCATCCATTAAACTCTTGGAACCCTAGATTAATGGACTTACGTTAATCAGAAATAAACATATAATATAATTAAAAATTTTAATAAAAAATCGTAGATTAGGTTTGCAATAAATTAAAATGAAAAAAAAATTTCTTTTACAAAAATAAATTTAAACATTTTTTTTACACTAAAAAATGAAAAAAAAATAAAAAAACACAAACGATCTCTTGCTTGATATATAGCTAAAAGCAAAAATATAATTTTTAAGCCTCGACGTACGTATTCAAACGCCCAAACAAAAGTCTTCAGTTCTCCGCATCGTAAAGAAAGTTTTTAAAACGTTTTCAAAAAAGAAATTAATTTTCCACCCCAAAAATAAAGAAAAAAAAACCTTAACACAAAAAAAAAAAAAAAAAAAAATACATCAACCTTGACGCCCGTGGTTACAGCTATCTGGACTTCATAAACCTGATGGCTTATGACTTCCACGGCAAGTGGGAGCGCGAAACGGGCCACAATGCGCCCTTGTTCGCCTCATCCTTGGATTCGGAGTGGCAGAAGCAACTGAGCGTAGACAACGCGGCCTCGCTGTGGGTGAGTCTCGGCACGCCCAAAGAGAAGCTGATCATCGGCATGCCGACGTACGGACGCTCCTTCACCCTCAGCAATCCGGCTAATTTCAAGATTCACTCGCCGGCTAGCGGGGGTGGCAAAGCTGGAGAGTACACCAAAGAATCGGGATTTTTGGCTTACTACGAGGTAAGCGTATGATTTTTTTTTTTTTTTTTTCGCATACTTGTGCATTACTCTGGTGATGTGAAGAGCTACCGAGCAGAGAGATACGTGATTAAGTTTTTATTGATTTTACTGATGGATAATAATCATCATGACTGCCTTCGTGATTATTTATTTACTCACCACTTTTCATTCAACTAAGGACGATCATCAATTTTTTATTGATTATTTCTCTGCTCATTTTTCGATAAAGCTGCAACTTTTAATCTTAATAAAGTATTTCTTGGAAGTGGAGTCAATTTGGAAATAATTACTGTGGGCTTTATCAAATTTTTCACTAACATTGCTGTTGAACATAAAATTCAGTTAGTGATTACCAAAAACTAAATTAAAAAGTTGAATCGCTGTACATATTCTTTGAGCTCATAAAAATTTTATAAAAGTTTAACTACTGAGATACCAGTGAACCGAGAGAGGTTTGCCTTACAAAAAACGAGAATGAAGGTTTATAAAAGTACAATTTTTGGTCCACTTTTTTAATTAAGATCTGCGAGATGCTGCTAAACGGTGCCGTCTACATCTGGGACGATGAGATGAAAGTCCCGTACCTCGTGGATAACGACCAGTGGGTTGGGTTCGACGACGAGAAATCCATCAGAATTAAGATGCGATGGCTCAAGGATAAAGGATACGGAGGTAACGCTACACATAAATACATAGTCTACAGATATACAGATTCGCGAAATTTCACCGGTGTACACCTGTTATACTGTACATGTACTGCATCACGTTCTTTTCCTCTTCCTCCTTTGGTTTTTTTTTTTTTTTTTTTTTTTTTTTTTTTTTTTTTTTTTTTTTTTTTTTTTTTATTCTCGTGCTCTTCTTATTTTCCCTGTAGGTATATACTTCAGAAACGATACTTCAGCTTGTCTATTTAACTATTTTCGTCCAATTTATCAGGTGCTATGGTATGGACGGTCGACATGGACGACTTCAACGGCACATCGTGTGGAAGCGGTGTCAGATATCCGCTGATCGGTGCAATGCGCGAGGAGCTTCGAGGCGTATCTCGTGGTAGCAACAGCAAGGATGTTGACTGGAGTTCCGTCGCCACGACGATATCCGAAGTGGTGGTCAAAAAGCCCGAACCTTACAAGATACCCGTATCCGAGGTTCTCAGCAAAGCCAAAAAGGTTCCCAAGACCGCCAACCAACTGGTTATTAATTTGCCAACCAGAGGTAAGGAATTTTATTTTTAATTGAAACTCTACTATATCTGGTGAAGAAAATTGACACTTAGTTAAAGTTTTCAACCCTTTTTTAATTCTACAATTGAAACAACTGCAATTTGCCCCTAATGTAGCCTTTTTTCGGCATTGGAAGTTTTTTTTTTCTTTGATGCTAATATGACTACCATTTCGTTCGAATTTGAGATATCCCATTTTGTCGAAAGATCAAAGTAGATGGTTTTGCTATAGAATTCAAGATTATTTCTCGGTTTTTCAACAAGTCTTATTGATATTTGTTTTTTTTTACAATTATAAGACAACTGTTTTCTCTTGAAGACTAAACTACTTACTAAGCCAAATATGAGATAGATGATATTTACTCCAAAAATCTGAGATACTTGCGGTTTTAGCTCTGAGGCAAAGCTAGTTACTTATCTGTCGACTTGATACCCATTTATCTAAAAACGAAAATGTTCAGATCACCAACACGAGCTGTTTTCTCTTGTTCCCACAGAAAGAGAAGCTCAGACGATCTGCTACTTGACAAACTGGTCGCACCGACGTCCCGGCACTGGTAAATTCAATCCCGAGGACATAGACCCGAGCCTCTGCACCCACGTTATCTACGCCTTCGCCACACTGAAGGACCATCTGTTATACGAGAGCAGCGACAAGGACATCGAAATGTACGAGCGGCTGACAAGTCTCCGCGAAAAGAATCCTGACATAAAGGTACGCAGAGTCATGGACCCTTTGTAAGTATATCCGGCCATTTCCTTAACTTGATTCGACTGAAAAGGAAATCCGCCGACTCCGTTGTGCAGTGCCACGCAAAGCCGGTGTTTACTATCATTTGGCACTGTATACGGCACGCGAGAGCGGGAGAAAGTTTGATAATTGCAGTTGACGAATAATCCGCGGTGGGTACAGAAGTAATGATAAGCTGAAGGTCTTTTCTCTCTTTTCCTTTTGTTGGGTGCGTGCATAAAAAGTGTGTCGTGCGGCAATTTTCTCGTACAGTGCTGCATCTACTTGTTGTAACAAATTTACCAATTGTTACCAAACCCAAGCTAGTTGTACAATTTCTCGTATGAATAATGCAAATTTTCAGTATTACAATGATGATACAACAACACGACGTAGTGAATTATTAACAATTTCTTGTATTGTATCCGAAGCTATCAAATGAAAAAACAAAAACAAAAAAATTCAATCAATTGTGCGCCTTTTTCGACAAAATAATCAATTAGTGGGACTGTTTCAGATTCTCTTGGCCATCGGTGGATGGGCCTTCGGCTCGACGCCGTTCAAAGAGCTAACGAGCAATACCTTCCGCATGAACCAGTTTGTTTACGAGGCCATCGATTTCCTGCGCGAGCACAAATTTGACGGTCTCGACGTTGACTGGGAGTACCCACGGTAATTACTGCTTCCCTTCACTGTGCATATGCACCAGCTGTACAGCTTTGTACCTCTTCCTCTCTGTTTTCGTCCTGTTGTGCACGGCTCTGAATTTCCCTCGTTTCACGAGTGAACAGCTTGACTTTTTTTGGCCCAATCGATTTAACATCGAATCGTGTCTTGATGGTAGAAAAAAAAAAAATAATAATTTAGTAGCAATACTTTAAAATGGTTTGTTGGAATAATAAACCACGAGGTTTATTTAAACGAGAGAGAGAGAGAGAGAGAAGCTGAAATTGTATCCTTTCATCACAGAGGAGCCGACGACCGCACTGCTTACGTCAATCTCCTGAAAGAGCTCAGAGTCGCCTTCGAGGGAGAAGCGAAGAGTGCCGGTCTGCCCAAGCTCATCCTCTCGGCAGCCGTACCCGCGAGCTTCGAAGCGATCGCCGCTGGGTGAGTGGATTTTTTATCGCTCGAAAATTATGGGATTTCCACCGAGGATCACATTTTTCATGACAATCGTGGGTTTTTTCGTAGTTACGACGTACCCGAGATTTCGAAATACCTCGACTTCATCAACGTGATGACATACGATTTCCACGGCCAGTGGGAAAGGCAAGTCGGGCACAACAGTCCCCTGTTCTCGCTGGAAAGTGCTACCAGCTATCAGAAGAAGCTCACTGTGGTAAGTTTTTTTTTTTTTTTTTTCATTTTCATTCGTTTATATATAAGATTGAAAGCAGACGATTGGATGTTTGGAAGTAAGCTGCGATAGTGCATAAATCGATTCGTCGCAAGATTTTGTTGAGCAGCCAAGACTGCAAGCGAAATAAGGTCTTTGCTTTCACGCGACCGCAGCTTTCTGTAAAAAGCGGCTTCGCTTGGCTTGTGGTTTGAGCGGAGCTCTCGTTTGAATTAACTTTCTTTAAAAGCTATTTATTCCGTGATATTCAACACGGCAGCGCCAGATTGGTTTATACCCGTCAATAAGTGGGTCTTGTGCAGGAAAATAAAACGATAAAGTATTAAGATTTTTAAGACCAATACGATTTGATATTTTTACTCCCAGTATTGCTTCGTTGTTTGAATCAATTATTACTTCAAGGATGAAATAATAGTCAAATACTAACTTAATCCTACAAAACGAGGGGTATAATAAGTATACTTAAAATATGTTATTTAAAAAAAATGGCAATCCATAATTATAAAAAATAATAATTTTTTTCCAAATGAATTAATTTTTAGGACTACAGTGCACGCGAGTGGGTGAAACAGGGAGCGCCCAAAGAGAAGCTGATGATCGGAATGCCGACGTACGGCAGGTCCTTCACCCTCGTCGATAAGTCCAAGTTCGACATCGGGGCGCCGGCATCCGGAGGCGGCCTGGCCGGAAATTTCACGAACGAGGCCGGCTTCCTCTCCTACTACGAGGTAATTAACTGACCTTTGCGGAATCTGATTGAGGAGGAGGACGGGAAACTTTCGATTGATGGCAAATCGAGTTGTCATTCGTAATGGGAAACTGATACTTTTTCAGCACAATGTTTTTTTTTTTTTTTTTTTTACGCTTTCATTAAAAATGCAAATTTTAATGCTTTTTGCAGGTGTGCAGCTTCCTGTCCGAAGACAACACTACGTTAGTTTGGGACAGTGAACAGCAGGTTCCGTTTGCCTACAGAGACGACCAGTGGGTTGGTTTTGACGACGAGAGGAGCCTCATCAACAAGGTAACAAATACTGAAAATAGGGACTTATGTCCTTAAACTTAGCAAAAAATCTCAACATCGTTTCACGTCGACAGATGAATTGGCTAAAGGAGGAAGGCTTCGGGGGTGTAATGATCTGGTCGGTCGACATGGACGACTTCCGTGGATCTTGCGGCAACAGCAAGTATCCTCTGATCAAGGCCATGAAAAAGGAGCTGCTCGATTACTCCGTGAAACTCGAGTACGAAGGACCGTACGAGACCAATAACTTGCGAGGCGGAAAATACACCACCAAAGATCGTTAGTTTCTATTAGTAAACATGAATTCTTTTTTTTTTTTTTTTTTTTATTCGAGATTGGGAGTGAAGAAATAAAAAAAATGTTGTGCCCCACAGCCAACGAAGTTACCTGCGATGAGGAAGACAATCACATCTCCTATCACCCGGACAAGAACGACTGCACGATGTACTACATGTGCGAGGGCGAGCGGAAACATCACATGCCCTGTCCCGTGAACCTTGTCTTCAACCCCAACGAGAATGTCTGCGATTGGCCCGAGAACGTTGAGGGCTGTCTGCAACATACGCAATCGCCACCAGTCTGAGAGTAACTTTGAAACTTTATGGAAATTTTTAATAATGTAAAAATTGTTTAAAATAAGTGCTGTCATGATATTTGTTATTCAATTCGAAATTATCATCACTAGCGAAATTCTCCGCCGAAAAAATTTGTGAAACATGACTATGTTAAGGCAACGTTGCTATTATTTTATTATTTTTTTTTTTCATATGAAATTCGCGAGGATTTTTTCGACGGAGGATGGTACGAGGGAATCGTAAAAATTGACAGGTGATGACAGCGAGAAACCGATACTCGTTTTTATATTAATTTTTTATTGTTTGTTTATTATTTTTTTTTTCTTGTGGATACGATGTAACGTATAATTATTTTGCAAAATATTCGATCGTTCAAGACTTCGGGTTTCATAGAAATGGCACAGTTTTGCATGTTTGTTGAATAAAATACACATTTTGAATTTAGAAAAATTTGTAAAACCAGAGAATAGAAGGAAAAAAGGGAAAACACATTAAGAAATTTCGGATGGTACGTTTTATGATTAAAGGCTTCGATGAAATCAAATGTAAAAACAAGGACTCATGGATGGTGGTTAATTAACATATAATCAAAATTCAGTTTGGTTCAATATATTGTGTGATCCTAATAAAATCATTATTGGGGATAAATTTTAAATAATTGTGAGTTTTTCGAAGTCTTGATTCACGTAAAACTATTCACGATACTCGTAAAAATTAAAAAAAACTTGTATCAATTAAGACAACTTTTTGTTTGATCACTTTAAGCCACGTTAAATAGAATATTCTAGAAATTGAGTTTAATTAGAACTTATATTAATTTTAGTACAGGAATCAAGTAAGATCTTAGTCTTTAAAATTTAAAAGCATCCACTAAAGTTCTGTCGTGATATTTTGGTTTATCAAACATAATTTATAATGGTGGCTGCCTTGTGACAATTGCATTGTTCAACTTTTTGCAAATCAAATTATTTTTTTAAAAGACCAAATATTTGAAATATGATTTCTTAACTAATTTTAATTAAAAGATTTATTTCATTTATTCACAAAACCTGCAGATTTTGCGAGACAAATCTAAAAATTTATAAATAAACTTTTTTACTGTCGTAAATTTTTTTATTAAAAAGCTATTGACTCTACAAGAAAATTTCGTAAAATTGGTACAAGTAAAATAAGCGAAAAAAGTCACTGAAACCTTGCCAGTGAATTTTTATGAATCACAAACAATTTAGAGTGGAGATATAGGGCTATGGAGATAAATATATAATGATATCGAGCATTATTAATGGAATGTTAAAAAATTACTGTACAGAAAAATTCTTCAGTGGATATGTATGTCGGTGATATAATTTTTTTTATGACCAATTTTTAAATACACTTTTGGCCCTTTTTGCTTCACAAGAAGTGAAAAATAATAGGAAAAATTAGCTATTCCATTTTTTTTTTATTTTTTAACCAAAAAAGCAATTGTTTGACAAAATTATAAAATGCGTCTTGCTATAAATTAAGCGAAAAATTATTTTGAAATACATTACAAATAAGTGTATCTCCAAACTTGTGAAATTTCTTGATGCCAAAAGTTGTGGTTTATGCACACTTAATTACAAAATAAAATTAAAACTTTACTTAGCTGACCAAAACATTAAATAAACTGTAGTGGAATAATTAAAACGAAAAAAGCTACGTGATCTTACCTGGCTTCTTCTGTACTTAAAAAAAAGAACTTAATATTTGTTACTGTTCGAAGATTATTGCCTAAATGTTTTTTAAAAGCAATAAAAATGGTTGTTTTCAAGATATTGTGATCACTTTTCTAAGAGGAGTTAAAAAAGTTTTTTCCGAAATTATTGTAATTTTTATTTGTCATTTTATAATAATGGCGTATTTTTAGTACATTTTAAGGTTATAAATATTGTAATATTATAACGTTCTCTAAACGAACAAGAAGACGGTTATAAAAGTATATGTTGACACCGAATATTTTTATATTTTCATAAGAATGCATCATACTTACTTATCCGATTTACGGATTTTTAAGAAGGTTAATACGAAACAAGTATTTCTTAAAACATAATTATCATTATCAATATTATTCCCGCGCGTAGACGTAAGATTACTAAGATACGATCGATGAAATTGGCGAAATTATTGGCAGATACTCATATTATTGCCGATAGTATTTAAAACAAACACGTGTTACCTGTATGATGGTCAATTAGCACTGTAAAATATGGTAGAGACATAATGAGAATGTACGAAAAATTCATAATTTGAAAAAATTATCGAAATAACGACATTTTTATTATTTGTAGATAAAGAAATATTTGTATTAAAAAATAAAAGTAAAATGTTGTCGAATCATCAGTATTTAACATATGTATTTTTTTATTCACTATTTAATGATGTAAAACATTGAAACAGAAATACCACACCTTTATTTTTCTTTGAAAATCCGATTCATAATGTGAGAGCGTTTACACAAATCTTTAAATCCCTTGACAAGATAAGTGTTTCATAAAAACCTATAAGAAGGAAAATGGTTACATCATCATTTTGATTACAAATTTAATTCCTCCCTCTCTTTCACAATCTCAAACGATCCCACTAGTTAAAAAAAATTGTAACTTGTTGGTGCCTATTGTGAGTATATTGTTGAATACATTTTTATTTTGTAGTACCATAGAGTATATATGTAAAATTAATTCTTGTATTATATAGTTTAAAAGTATTCAAGGTAGATACCGTGCAATGTATTTATTTTTAATTATTTTTTTAGAGCATACTCGTATTTAACATCGAATTACACAGTAATTACACCGAGTACATCAAATTTATTGTCTTTTTAAAATATTCATTACAATAATAATGTTAAATAGCAAAAAAAAATTTCTTTTGAGGAATTCATAAATATATTAACAAAAAAGTTCCTTAAAATATTAAAATAATCTTTGTTCTAAGAATTAAGACTCAAAGTCAATAGATTGGCCGGATACTTACAGTTTTCTTGTACTGATTACATTTTTTAACCAATGTACAGATTTTTTAGGGGTTCGAGTACGATTAGCATCATTAAAATCAACGTGCATTAATCCAAACTGAGCTCTGCAATATTAAAATTATTGTTAAATGGATGACCAAAAAAAGAATCCTATATTTTATGGAAACTTACGTGAATCCTGCTTCCCATTCATAACTGTCTAATAAGCTCCAATATGTATAACCTTTTATGTTACATCCGTCATTTACAGCTGATAATATTACTTTCAAATGAGAGCGTAGATAATTTATTCTCTCGTCGTCATTTTTGCCGCTTGAAGATGATACACCATTTTCGGTTATGTACACTGTAGGGTTGTTGTATTTTTCTCTTATTTTCCTCAATACTTTACCAAGTCCTTCGGGAACGACCTTTAAAATAAGTTGTAATATCACTTTACTTTGAATATTATTTTTAGTTCCTACAATTTCGGAAAAATTGTTTAAAATATAGATCCATTTTTTATGAAAATGATTGTTATATTGATGAGAGACCTTACTTTTAACCAAGAACTTTGCGCTGATACCCATTTGGGATCCATAGTATATTCCAACCCTTCATCGTTTGGCCAATTAATTCTTGAAGATGTTGATAAACGTTTAACTATTCTACTTGAGTAATAATTTAGTCCAAAGAAATCTGATGTTCCTCTAAAACAACATATAGTATCGAAGATAACATTTCCAATACTGAATTTAAATAATAATTATAGCAGTGTGATGATTTACTTAATACGTGCGACCCAATCTTCAGAAAATACTGGAAGTCTGGAGGTTTTATAGCCTTGAGCTTTACTTCTTAGAGCAACTTGTTTTTTCATAACTTCAGGGTAATCGCCGGTTTCCGAAAAAATCGGATGAGATGGCCATCCGCATTCAAATTCATAGGCAAGATCTTCGGATGCTAAATCGATTGTGTCTTTACTGAAGTGACCAAAACACAAAGTTGTAATACCAAGTTGACCATTAAACTCTTTACGAAATTCCTCATCATAAACATGATATGCAAGAGCATGAGCCTTTAATTGATTATGAAGGCATTGATAGTCGCCTGTCCCGTTTAATTTTATGGCTGAAACAATGATCGATTATTACGACATTTATCATGCATTCATTCACTAATTTCTATTGAGTACAATACTGATGTATGGCAGTAATGATTGTATTGTACTTTAGTTAGTTCTGTAGTAATTACTACTGTTACGTGGGTTTGTTCGGCTAGGGGTGTTTGTATTCAAAACAGCCCTCCGTTACGTTATAACTTTATTATATTCGAGCGAAGGAAGTGCGGATATGTATGTCGGTGATATAATTTTTTTTATGACCAATTTTTAAATACACTTTTGGCCCTTTTTGCTTCACAAGAAGTGAAAAATCACGTTGAAGCACAAAATCGTCTACGCATTAGTATTTTACAAGCGTCAACAGATAGAGTAGTTTGAAAACAAAGAAAAAAGTTTAAAACTTACCTGGAGGATGCTCAGCTCTTCTATAAGCCATAGTGCAGTATATATTTAACTCGTTTAGAGTCACAAAATATTTTACGCGATGTGCGAAGTTTTGAAAAATCACTCTAGCGTAATCTTCGAACCACTGAGGCATGTTATCATTCAACCATCCTCCCGCTTCTTCTAGAGATTGTGGATGATCCCAATGATATATCGTTACAAATGGTATGATTCCTTTGGCATCTAGTTCATCCAAAAGACTATGATAGTAACGTAATGCACTTTTGCTCACGTAACCACTATGACCTTTTGGCAAAATTCTTGACCAACTCATAGAAAAGCGGTAATGATCGACCTTTGAAAAAATGAATGTATCATGAATTTTCATTTAGTTGATAGCAAAAAATATTGTTATTCTCATTTGAAAAAGTTCATCAACTTACCCCCAAATCACTAAGTATATTTACGTCCTCTTCATGTCTGTGGTACGAATCAGTGGTAACATCAGCATTCGATCCATCAACAATTCTTTCCGGGTTATGATGTACAAAATGATCCCAATTACTAATTCCTTTATCTATTTTTGAAATATTTCCGTTATCATTGTTTAAATAAATGTTGAAAAAAAATTCACAAAACAATCTTACCGTCAACATTCCATGCACCTTCGACTTGATAAGCAGATGAAGCAGCCCCTATCAGAAATCCATCGGGAAATGTCAGAATTTTATTTTCGTTGTTACATCCAACTAATGTTATTGTCATTAACGAGAGCAGTAGGTGAAACATTTTGTATCAAAGTACTATATTGTTCTGGAACTCAAAACAGAACCTGAAGCAGGTGTGCAAGCGATTTTTCGTCTCGTTTGCTTGCGATTTATAGCCTTACATTCGCGACACTGCAGTCTTTTGCGTTAAGAGAGGCGAAAGCGAGGCTACTGTTCCTCTGACGTTGATTGATAGTACAATCAGTAACGTGAATTATATAAAAAATTTGATAACAGTACATTTGTATTATTAAAGTGAATTCATAAAAATATGTAAAATGAAGATTCGGGAATCCGCAGTGGATGATAATTGTCATGTATTAACTTTATTTATCACTTAAATATATTTCATAACTGTTCTTAAAATTAATCTCCGAAAACAAAAAATTTTATTGCATTTTCACTTTGTCTTTTATTTTAAATTATTGAAGTACAATATATGCTTCGTTATGTTGTTTGTCATTATCTATAACATTTTATTCAAACCGACTGTATGGTTGCAAATAGCATGAGCAGGAAATGATTTTTTAGCACTTTTTAAATACTTCTAAATACTTCTTAAAAAAAAAAAAAAAAAAATTCAATATAGAAAGATCATTTCTAAAAGCAAGTCTAATAGAGAAAATTAACGTTAATCCTGAATATTTGACCAACGGATCCAAATTCGTTGCTTTTCTTTTAGTTTGGACTTAGAAGAAAAACTTAACTACTGAGTAAAGTAAAAATATTGTAAGTGTTCTAATAATTATTTTTCATGAAAAATTTGGTGAGATCAAAGCTGTAAATAGATTTACAAAATTTTCAGTTTTATTCAGAGAATCATTTTTCATTTATTTCATCTCCTGTATGCCCAATAAATTATTTGGACTTTTTAATACTTCAAAGTTATCGATGTGTTGATGTAGAGGTGCAACGAATAAATACTTGATTTTTTTGTGCAAAAACAAATTTTCTAAATTGGTAAATAATTTTACGAGATCAATAAAGTTAATAGAACAAGTTCATTCCACTGTTTTAAATTATTTATGATTTTATTTATTATTTTTTTTTTTTTCAAATCTCTTGTTTATCAACTATAAACTTTATTACATAACTTGTTTATGAAAAAAATTCGGTTTATCTCGAAAATGCTTGTTATTTTTATCCTCATCTGTTATTGAACGCATTAATTTTAAAAAACCCTCTCTGACTGTATATTCTGACAGACATTTAATTTATTTACATTTTTTCCCTCTTTTTAATCGATGAAATTGAGAATACACAAAAAAAAGCTAATTTCATTTTTAAATCCACGTAAATCAATTTAATGAAATAGATTCAAAAATTAAAGTTTAAAAATAAATTCTTTTCGTTACACGTAATATACCACTTTTTACATGCTCTTGTTCAAATCGCATTGTGTAATTATGTCAAGATTTTAGTCCTGCAATATAATAAGCAATAAATTATCTTAATAATAAAACTATCGTAGATATAGCCATTTACTATGGTTTAGTGAGCTCCACTGATTGAATTTAGACTTAACTGGTATAAGTGATAGTAATAAGTTGAGTATATTAAAATTTCATAACGTTTTGCATCAATGTCAAACTGCGGTCTTCATGATAAAAGATTAAAATTTTTTAATAAAATGATGTAATTCACGTTTGTTAAATAAAGTCGCTGAAGCTTAAAAATTATTTTTTAACAACTACGACCTAAACTTTTTCTGACTTGTCATGAGACTGTAAAGACAAAATAAAAAATAAGAGTGGAGATATAGGGCTATGGAGATAAATATATAATGATATCGAGCATTATTAATGGAATGTTAAAAAATTACTGTACAGAAAAATTCTTCAGTAGTTTCAATTGTTCTAAAAATTATTATTTAATTTCTTAACACTTTCCAAATACAAAAAGCAAGTATTTTAAATTATTATTCATTGTAAGGTTTCAAAAACTACATTTATAAGATGAAATAAAAAAATACTCATACGACTACTTTAAAATTTTCGTACAACTATTTTTGTCCTATAAAATAATTAAACACTTTAAGAATACTAATCAATAGATTTTTTAACAAAATTTTTATTCAATTAATATACACGCAGATTCTACAATACATGTTGTAAATATTTAGATAATAATTTACAAATATTTATTTTATAAAATTGTTTAGTTTTACATGATGAACTGTTAAATTTTTAATTATATTTTAAAGAATTTTCTTTAGAATAATAAGTACTCTTTGATATTTTTAAGCTATTTTAGAAACTTATTGGTTACAGATCTACAAAAATATCATACGAAAATTAGACGATATGAACAGTTTACAACTGGAATTTTTTATAGAAAACTATCATTATTGCCGGGTAGATTATCAGTAATGACACATATTTTATGTTTTTTTAATGTAAACAATAATTAATGAAAATTCAGTACGTACATTAAGAAGCATGAGACATCTGATATCCCGGTTGCTGTAAATTTTCGTTGGCGTAAAGAAAGTCGCGATGATACGGATTCTCCATTCCCAAACCTTAATATGTTCCATTAACATCAATTTTAGTTTAAATAGAATAGTAAACAGTACTTGTCCAATACTTTTCTGGTAATTTTTCTGACAGACTAAAGAGAAAAAGAAAACATTATGTTTGTGCAATAACTCGATTCTTATCGTTGGTGTAATATGAATTTGCTAAATAGTTTTATAACTTCATAGTTATATGCCAATTTTATTTACATACAAGTATTTATCATAAAAATTTATTACATCCCTAGTTTTTAATGTAAATACATTGAAAAACGTCCATGGATAGTGCAATGTCGTAAAATGTCAACAATCTCTTGGATCTCTAAATGCTAAGATGTAATCACAGAAATATATCAAAAATTAAAATCAGATCCCTTAGCGTCATCAGTTCTTGGATATGTTTTTTAATAATTACAAAAACCGAGACTTAATCATTTATCTACCGTATAAGATAACAAAATACTTTAAAGTACTTAAAACACACATGTTAAACATCATAATAAAATCTTTAATGTATTCCGCGGCCCCAAGCCCATTTGTGCGAAGGTAATAATACTGTAACTTTCAAGAAATCACAGTCACATTGCATTAGGCAAGTGACAAATAAGATACATACTACAACTTTCAAGTATTCATGAAAAACGAAAAAGAAACGTTTTTAATGATTAAATAGCGACAACATGTACGCCCACCAGATGAAAAACAAAAATCAGCTACCGCAGGACAAGCAGCATGAAAATAAAGGCACCCACGGGTGCCATCATCGCTCGCCTCCCGTAATCAGAAACAGGCGCCCCACTGAGCGCGGACGCCTGGCAGGCAGTGTTGCGCGTGTGATCGGCGTTGAGTATCGAGTTGAGCTGTTGGCCCTGCTGGTGTTGCGAGGCCGTGGCCGAAGTCTCGGCGCACACGGCTCTGCCCGCCAAAGTGCGCAATTGTCGGGCATCCGATTGCGAGGCGGTGTGAATTTGGCGCGACTCTCGGAGCCAGCGGCGCAACCAGACCGACAGCCAGGCGATTTCGCAGTCACACTCCAGTGGGTTGCCCGACACCTGAAGTCCACCTGAGATTCGAATATGACGTTTCACTTTTTTTTTTTTTAATCAATTACGTAAGGGTGTGATGGACAAATCACAGACGAGTCAAATTTTTTATTGACTCGGGATAATTTTTGGGCATAAACGAGGCATGTAATATAATACGCCTGGATGATCTGAAGTTATTGTAATTATATCTGATATTTCTAACATCCCGATGATTTACACGTCCATACTTGACGTGCAACGGTTTGATGTAATCAAAATCGATTCAAGGCTTCATTGAAATTATTGAAATTAAAATTCCCCAAAACAAAAGCACTACAAAACTCACCTGAAACCATGTAAGTGCCCACAGTCTCCCACGACTGATTACCGTAGATAACGGACGGGCTGAGTTCATAAATGTGATTGTTCCTGAGATCCAGGGAAAGCTGCGAAGACCGTCTCGTCAACGGCGAAAAAACGTCGGACTGAAAGCGCTGCACCTGCGTCTCCGTAATCCTCAGCACCAGCTCGGCACTCTCGATCGTGGCAAACGCGTTGGAGTCGATGTAGCGCAAATTGCGACCTGTGATCGTTAATTCGCGCAACTGCTTGGTAAACGTGTAGTGCAGCTGATCGGTAAGCTCAGACTCGGTCACTTCGATCTCGACGATACGCAAGGGCAGACCATTGAAGAAGTGCTGGAGATGAAAATTTGGAACTTCCGGCCAGGTTTGGGTGCGCAGGTGTTTCAGGTATCTCAGCGATTTGAGGCAATCCTTGTCGACCACGTAGGTGCGATTGAGGTTGCGGATGTTGAGACTTTCTACTCTGGAGTAGCCGGAAAATGATTCTTTCGACAGCTCCTGGAAAAGTCCATTTGAACATCGTTATACGTAAGGTAAATTTTTGGTAAAGAATTATGGATACCTTAATCGGATTCCCGGATATATCCAGTTCCCTCAATAAATTAAGCCTCAGTCCACCGATGGATCTCAGCGAGTTGTTTGTCAACAGGAGTATCTTCAACTCGTCAAAGTACTGCAGCTCGTTGTCTCGAATCGTGTCGATGTTATTGTACGACAGGTCCAAGCAATTCAAAGAACTGAGCAGTAGATGTGGTATCGCCTTCAGATCGCAGTTGGCTAGGCTCAGATGCCTTAGATCGGGCAGATAGTGGAACACCTCTTTGAAATTCGCTCGAAGATAGTTGTGGGAGATGTTGAGCACCAGCAGCTTTGCCAGAGAGACGAACGAGATGTCTGGCAAGATTTCTATACGATTCCGAGCCAGGTTCAGAGACACCAGCTGCGAAGTCGGGAACGAAGTGGCATCCAGGTGGTCGATGAAGTTTTCAGAAAGATCTATACTTCTGCAGCGAGGGTGAAAAATGTGGTGTTATTTTACGTCAACAAAGTGGGGAAAAAAAACACACAATAGTCCCGTACCTGAGCGTGTACCCAACGTCGAGGAATGGCGCCGATGGTACGACCGTGAACTTGTTGCGACTGAGATCTAGTATCTCCAGTCGCGTGCCAGTGAAGACGTCGCGCGTTAGCGATCGCAGCCGGTTGCGTGCCAGGTTGAGGACCCGTAAGCCGCGCAAGTGTCGGAATTGTTCGTTCGTTAGTTGGCTCAGTTGGTTGCCTGAGAGATCGAGTTGCTGCAGGAGGCCGAGGCCGCTGAAGCTCTGCTTGCGCAACGACTCGATGCGGTTGTCTCGGAGGTTCAACACGTCGAGGTTACTTAGAGAAAACGTGCCTTTGGAATATGATAAAAAATGATTGAAAAAAAAAAAAAATCAATATATGATTTCTGTTGAAAAAAAAAATCTCGAAAAGCATGTGCAGATTAGGCTCCCTTATCTGATAATGCAGGGACAGTTCAAATTCTTTGTCCTACCTCAGACGTTTTTTTTTATTTATTTTTTTATATTTACTACGCCCTTGGTAGGAAAAATAGATTGATAAAAAATTGTATAAATTTTTTTCCGTTTATATACGTGCATTATTTGCATACACATAAAAAATTTGTGAAAAATTAGTCTCTTAAATTTTTTTTATTACGCAAGTAATTGTGAGACATAATACATTTGTTTATTGAAAACAATTTTTTCAGGCATTATTTAATACTTTCAACGAAAAGAGGTATTATTGAAAGTCATATTTCTATGAAAAATAGTGCATAAAAAAATGTTTGTTTACGTGTATTGATTTAATTTAATGCGTAATGAATTGTCTTAGCAAATGATATAGAAAAAAAAAAAATTCAAAAAACGTTGAGATTTTGAGCTGAGTGCATCAGACAAACTGAAAAAATAAACAATAATCAGCAGCAAAAACAGACTCAGATTTAGAGCAAGTTGTTGCAAATCTGAGTCCGTTTTTGCTGTTGCTGCAAGTTTACTGTTAGTTTCCTAGCAAACCAAAAGCAACAGTTGCTTCTTGGTTATTGGGGTACGGACAAATTTTTTTATCTTTTCAAGTATAAAACGGAAAATTTAATTCTTCAATTGATAAACAAGTCAATGTAGAGTCGTAGATTCACGTAAAAATATTTTTTTTCAATTGACTGTTTTTCTAAGGGGAAAAAAACTACTGAAGCAAAATATTATTAGAAATACAAATATTTCAGTATTTATTATGTCAGAAATCATATTAAAGTTTAAGGAGAAAATTATTCCATCAAGTCTTGTCTATCTTTTAAAAAATTCGTATAGAAATCAGATGTATGAATGTATATTTCTTAAATATTTCACAACAAAAACAAAATAACAACTTAGTAAGGTGAAATTTTTTCTACATTTCGTGCAGTTCTACTGTATCAAGGAACCCGAAAAATTAATGAAACTATACAATACAACTTTTTTTTAAATAGTAAAAATTTGAATTTGTACTTTACGACTAGCAAAATAACATTTCTACAACAATATGAGAAATACAATCACCTGGCTCGATCGACGTCAGATAGTTGTTTTGCAAGTTGATTGTTCTCAGGTTCGGCGAATTGGCAAAAACGTCGGCTGACAGGTGAGTCAGATTGTTGAAACCCAAATCGAGGCGTGTCAAATTAATCGGTGATACGCTCGGCAGCAGAGTAGATATTGAATTGTAGGACACGTTTAAGGTGAAATCCGAGCCGCCACTACGTAAGCAGATCAAAAAGTAAAAGATATTTACAAAGTGCGTGTATAAATGCATGTGGTGTTAACGTCATGTTTGTCGGCAAAACTATGATTAATGTATTAGTGCACAATACAGTGCCACAATAGGTATATGCTGTCGACGAATATCATTGTGTATATAGATTCATGCAAAATTTCGACGCTCATTTATATAATATGTTGTGTCATTGTTGCCAAGGCCATCCATTGCGGCGCGAACAATAACCCAAGGAAATCAAAAGCGTGTACAGATTTGGAAAAAAAAAGGCAATATCCACGGGGCTGCATCGATCAAGAAAAGCCGAAATCATACCTGTCGGCAAACGCCTCAAAGTCCAGGAGCGTGATCTTATTGAACTCCAAGTGCAAGAACCTTAGGCCATAGAGTCCACCGAGGGCCGAGGTATCGACAGCAGTAATCCTGTTGTTGGCCAGAGACACGGTGACCAGCCGCGGACAGTCGCTTATGGAGGCCGGAGCCAACAGCCTTATCCTGTTGCCGGTGAGGTCCAGGGCCCTCAGCTCGGTGAGATTGTGGAAGGTGCTCTCGGGTATGGCCTCGATGAAGTTGTAGCCGAGCTTGACGTCGCGCAGCTCCGAGTGCACGTCCTCGAGGAAGACGCGCTCGGGTATCTCGGCCAGGCGGTTGGACTCGAGGTTGAGGTAGCGCAGCTTCTGGAGGGTGTAGAACGCCGAGGGCTCGATCGCGTGGAAGTTGTTGTTGTCGAGCACGAGCCAGTGGAGGCTGCTGAGGGGACGGAGAGCCCGTAGAGGAAACACGTCCGTCGAGAAGGCAAAGCTCAGCTCGAGGATCTCGAGGCTGTCCGTCAGGCCCGTGAACGCCTCGTCCGATATATCAGTCAGGTGGTTGAACGACAGGCTCAGTTCCTTTAGTTTTTTCGTACCTATGGACACACATTTTTTTTTTTCCTCCTTTATAGTGTTCCAAGTACTTGCAATGTGAACCAAAACAAAACAATCAAACGTTTGATTTCCATCACAAGTTTTGAAAACTTTTGTCTCCTTACTCTCAATAAGATAATTCTCAAATGCGTATTAACCATTGAAACACCTGAGATTCAAAATTTAAACAATTCTGGGGTTGCAGTGAAATTAAATATTCAGAGAGTACATTGAAATTCGCAGCGTATGATAAACTGCACGAAAGACGTACGAACCTCCAAAGGTGTTTGGCTTGAGCTGCGTCAAAAAATTGTTCCTCAGCAGGAGAATCTCCAGATTCTCGGCCCACTCAAAGTCCCCGGGCGAGATCTTGTGGATCTTGTTGTACCCGAGATTGAGGTGAAGCAAACTCGAGCAGCCGCTGAGCGCGCTGACCGGCACAGTCTCGAACCCGTTGGTGGCCAAAGACAAAGCTTTGAGATTGCCGCCGAATTCGAGGAAGCTGTCGTTGCTGAGCTCGCGAATTGCGTTGCTCGCGAGGTATAGGTACGACAACTGACGCAGCGAGCTCACGGCGGTTGGCAGGGCCGAAAGCTCGTTGTTTTCCAAGTTGACGTACTCGAGGGTGTCCTCGAGACCGGCGAACGTTTGTGGATCGATCGATCGGATTCCGTTGGACGACAGGTGGATGCGACGCACTGCCATTTGGGAGAAGGTGCCCTCTGTCAGGCTGGTGAGACGGTTACCTGTGTTTTAGATTTTATCATATCGATTGTCAAAAGAGCCATAAATACCGATAATCACACGATTTATATCAACAACTAAAATCAAAGATATTCGATTCACTCGTCGTAAATTCAACCACTTTTTTCGTCACTGTTGGTACACTATTTTACAATCGAGAAACTAGTAAGGAAAAAAAAAATAACGACTCTATAGAGTGTACGCGATCAAAGACACAACCGTAAAATTAACGTTACCGGACAGATTTAGATCTTTTATGGTGAGGTTCTTATTCCCAGTGCCAGCATAATTGATGCTCTCGATGGAGTTCTCGCTGAGGTCGACCATCTCGAGGCGCCTGCTCTTGAAATCCGGCAACTGGAGGTGCCTGATGTCGTTGCCCCGGAGATACAGCCACTCCAGATCTTTGAGCCCAGCCACGCTGGCCGGGAAGGCTTTGAGCAAATTGGCGTTCAGGCTAAGGGTGACGAGGTTTGGGGGTAAGGTATCCAGTGGGAGCTCCTCGATGTTGTTGTTGTCGAGATTGAGCCAGACGAGGGACGAGAAGGTGGCGAAACTCCGGGGTACCGAGACAAGCGAGTTGTCGCCGAAGAAGGCGTTCGAAAGTGTGCCGTTCATGTGACCCCAATTGCCTTCCAATGTCGTCAGATGATTGCTGGAAAGAAGGAAGATGGACAATTACGAAATTTTGTATTGCCCAGCATCGATACTTTTTGTTTTACATATCAGAACGAAAGCAGAGTTAAAACGTATGTATGTCACGATAATTTAACGCCTTCGAGTGTGGGTGGGTATAGGTGGAGCGCAGTGGTATTGCCGAAAATACGAAAAATTACTATTGCGGAGTCTTTTATCATGAACACAAAGTTTTGTGGTTAAATTTAGGACTTTTTTTTTTTTAAGTATGAGTTTTTTTTCCTTTTTTGCGTAACGCTGTGATTGCAATAAAGTTTTAAAAAAGGGTAAGTATACAACTTCTATGTGTGTAGAAAAAAAATTTCTTCTTAAGTATTTTAACGGCTTACCTGTGCATGTTTAACCAGTTAAGTTTCTTTAGGCTACGCAAGGCCGCCAGGGGTATTTCCTCTAACGAGTTGTAACTTAAGTCCAGCGAACGGAGACTGTCGCTCACTCGCCTACGAATTAAGTTGATCAGTCGATTTTAATAATTCAACGTACAATTTTTCAATAACGTTGAAAGAAACATTAAAATATTTATATAATATTTTATAATTAACTTGACATTATCTATTTGTGTTAACCGTAAAAGATCTTCAATCACAATATTTATAATAATCAAAAGTATACTTACTGCAGGGACCTTTCACCGATGCTCATGAGCTGATTGCTTACAAGACCAAGCGCTTCGACTCCTGATGCGCTGACCAACGCTTCGTTGTCAAAAATTTGTATGCCAGAGCCGACGACATCTAGCTGCGCCACGTAACTTATCGATACGTCTAAAATTGGAATTTTTCACGTTGTACGGCTCGAAAAATAGATCGATGAACTGAATGATATTTTAATCCAGACGTAAAAAATAAAGAAAGGTATTGTAGCGGCAAATATTACTACCCAGACTTTATTTACTTATTATTATTTTTTTTTAATTACAAATTATTTTTTTACAAGAATTTACAATACTTTTAAGATTTTGAAAAGATTTTATTAGTTCTTCTACAATGTAATTTTTGTTCAGCAATTATTTATTAACTATGAATTAAATGTAGATACTAAAATACGTAGGCAAAGTTATAATGTGTATATTAAAATAGTTGAGAATGAATTTTTTGTCCAAGTGTAATGCATATTTTTTCTTTTTTATTTGTTTATTTATTTTTTTTTTTTTTTTCGTAACAAACAATAATATACTTCAAAAAAAAATTTCCTTACAAAAATAGAGTGATGAATTATTTTTAAAATAGTTATTAAAAAACTTTAAACAAGTGTTCATTTAATTTTGAATTTTTCTCTTTCCTACTATTATAGATTTTTTTTTTTTTTTTCAAAAAAAATTATTTCAGTACTGTATGAAAAGCAGCAATCAAAAAATATCTTGTAGATAGATGCACTGTTTTTTCATAAGTAATTGTAACGTAAGGTACCTATTAAAAAATGTATTGATACCCAAGCTTAAGTGTATAATTAATTCAATATAATTTTACTTAAAAAGTTTTGAAAAATACTTTCAAAAACGCAGGAAACAAAATGTAAAAATCTCTGTATGAATTAAAAAAATAATTAATTCTCATTATCAAAAGCAATTTCTTGAGCATCTTACTATATACAGAAAGTACATAAATATGTTTGCATATTAAAAGAGCACCATCGAACCTCATGGTTATTTTGTGACTCTGGTATAATCATACTATGGGATGACTCAATTAATTTGGCACAAATAAAATATGAGCAAATATGCGAGTCGCAATATACAGCAAACAGAGCAGTAATTACAAAAAAATCAAACTCACCCGGAAATCTGGCGAAAGGCACGCCAGTGCAGCTGATGTCCATCTTTGTGAAATCGGTGTCGTCCTGCACCCAACAGAGACACATGGCGTTGAAATTGCACGGCACGTCGTGACAACGCAAACAGCTTGCCAGCCATCCCAGCAAAATCAGCAATGTCCCTCGCATCTGGCGCGCGCGTAACAAATTTGTGAATCAATTATTCAAATTCACACTCACTACTGTCGCTATTTGACGTTGCAGTAATGTCTATGGAAGAGCTTTTTATTGTTCTGCTTAATATTGATTATGTCGATTGAACGTCGAGTAAATCTTTATACTGTTGAACTTTTGTTTGATTATCTGCAGTTCTAGTTATTATTTTTCCTATCCCCTATTTTTTTAGTTATTATTGCGAATACCAAAAATAATAATCTTTAATGATGCAAAGTTAAATTTGTTTCGTTAGGTGCTAAATAAAAAAAAATTATAAAGTAAAATTAATTTACAATATATGTATACACCAAGATAAATTAGAAAAAAATTTTACATTTTTTAACATACAGTTCTAATAAACATAATTTACACGTGACATGAGTAGTCTGAAGATTTTTTTTGTTAATACCTGAGCTGATTTCTACTAGCATTGTTTTGGCGCACTTTCATTGAGGTACATTGATGGAATTAACAAAACAATATACTCACAAACAGGAGAAAACCCACTACGCTACCCTACGCTGCGCAGCACTTCCACAACACCCCCTCATTCATAAAGCACAAGTGTGAAATTTCCCAACCACAATCCCCCAAACATGAAAATCAAGAAAAATGTATTGTAAAGCAAAACCCTTCTCCTGTGTGAGAAAAAAATAATAAAACTATGAGTTAAGTTGCAAGCACATACCTGTCACTGCTCCCTCCTAGTCATAAAAAAAAAAAAATCGACCGAGCCCGTGTGAATTACTTGAGGATACAAATACCAGAGCTGCCGACCCCCTCTAACACAACTAAACGCTATCCACGACTTACCTTCATCTCGCAACTGGTGCTGTATCTCTTGTTGGTCGCCTCTAAGATACCATCTTCGTATTACAAGGTTACAACTTTTTTCAGCCGTCGTCTTTTTGTAATTTCTACTGCCTCGAAGATGACGAGGTTGAGAGGCAGTTCAGGACGATAAACCCTCGACCACCAGCTGCTCGTGTCGCGGATTGCCACAGAGCGAAAGGGCGCATGTACTGGCATTCGCACATGCGCTCTGCGGGGGAGTGTATATGCTGCGTAGGGTAGTACGAGGGTAATACGAGGATCGAGGGAAAAATACAAAGGAGCAGGTGTGCGAAGAGTGACTGGGGATGTTAAAGGAAATCGAATCATTGGCGTGGTATAGGTAACTGTTTGGGTTTTTTTGGTTTTTTTTTTTACTTTTACCTTTTTTTTGCGGTACGATTTTTTTATTGGAGAAACAATAATATAGAAGTATAATGCAATAAAAGAGTAATTTTTTTAATGGACTTGCGAGTCTCTTTATATAATATGGTAAAATTATCTCCATCTCGATCCTAATGTATAAGGAAGAATTGTGTTGATGCCTCTGATTTTATAATCTGAAAATTGCAATCTATGGTGATTTAACGTTAATGGTACAATTAACTTAATAAATTGGAAGAAAATTGTTTGTTGATGTGATTGTTTATTTTTTATTAAAAAAATAAGAGGACGGTTAATTTTTCAAATAGCACTCGCAGCGAACGAATAAAATTGTGCTTATATCCTTAGGAATCTCTTTATTTTTTTTCATCGATTCTAGGTTAATCAGGCTGGATGTAGGATAACAACTCGCCTGACGCCTATAACAGCTCTCTCGACAATCATGAAAAAAAAAAGTGAATCATTTCACATATATCCGAGAAACAGTGAATCATTTAATTATCAAGGGCACACCGCCTATTACTCAAATAAATCGGTAACAAGGCGTTCGCTTTCTCGACATCGGACAACAGTCTCGATGGATACAACTACTTGTACGCGGCATACGTGTTACAGAAATGCTAATGACCATTTTGACCTTTTAATAAACACGATCGAGGCTGTAATAAACTCACGAAGATATAATATCTCTCTGGCAAATCTTGATCCATGAACTTTTATCATGTAAATAGTTTTACTATGATTTTGAGGTGATGATCGCATTTATCAAAGTAATTACACGACGCCACGATTGCAATGATTATGTTTAAGCAGCACAGCACGAGCCTAAGATAGTAAGATGAATAATGTCTAAGATCGCATGTGTCCACTCTTTACTTCCGTTCACGGTGTATATTATAAACGGATATTTGGTCTATCTTGACTCAAAGGAACCCTCTTGCTTTTTCAAAGAACTGCTTCGAGTCCAAATGGACCAAAAAACTAATTTACATCAAACATCGATTCACAGTTATTCACAGATACCTCGTGAAAAACCTGTTGCGAGCCATTAAAAAAGAAAAAAAAAAAAAAAACTCTGCGCGAGAAAAAAATCCAACTCCGTCCCGACGCGTCAAACGATTACGGCAGCCGTCACTGCAAGACACCGACTCTCTCTCTCTTCTAGTGCACTTGACACTCGTGCACATAAATTGGCTATCGCGTAGCCGAGCTGCCCGAACATCGATCGGCTGCCAATTTGCACAATTTAATGGCGATACCGGTCGAAGCGCGTGTCCTTCGTACCACGTATCGTGTACGCTGAAATAAGAAATAGCCCCCCCAGGGGGGAGGTGAAACGTCCAGGAGTCCCAGGTATGCGATAAAATATCTCGATCTTGTGACAAGCGGTGCTGGGGACTCTGTGAGAGCTGAGGATGCGGCCAACCCTCGGGGGTTTGGGTTTTTGCTTGGAAATTGCTGCTCGTACTCGTGAGCGATCGATCGTTTTCTTTTTCTCGTTTCACGAAAAACAGATGCTTTGTAGCAGAAAAAAATGAAATAAGTAAGATACGTGTATCAACTAAATATTCACTTTTTATTTACTTGTTATCTCATTGATCACAAACGACCCACGTACATTTCTTCGAATTGCCTCATAATGTAAGTTGACGCAATATCTCTACCAGAAGATTGTTGACCTCGCGTATACATACACGGCTACTGGATCCGGAAATGTTTAATGTATGAAAAAATGTTTAAATGATCGATGCGTCAGGTGACGAAAAGCGAAACTCTCATAAGGATTAAATAATCTAGTCAGTGTCAAACGCAGGCCCTGAAGCATTTTTTCAGGTGTATTTGGGATTTCACCAATCGATTCGTCAAAGTGGTTATTAATTGGGTTTTTATTCGTGGATAAGCACGGTTTTACGGCCAAGTTTCTAGAACTGCGTTCTGAATACTGAATTACATTTATGCAGTGGTGGTTGACGCAACCTATTTTTAGTCTTAAAATTTATTGGTAAAAGAATAACTGCAGTGATTGAAATGATGTAAAAGAATTTATTGGTCGATCACTTCATTTCTCTTTACACATAGTAAAATAGGGATCGATACCTTTGTATCACACATCCACATCCCCCTATTATTTGACTTTCATGGGTATGATTAATTAATTAATTAATAATAATAATAATAATAAATATTGTTTAATACTTTTACACTGGTTTCTAATACTAGAGTCATAGTGAGATGCTGTAGCTGTAAAAGAGCCCAATAATTGTAATCTTGAGGTAGTTAAATGTTGTATAGTAGTTATAGTATCCATGAAGACTAAACTTTTTCACTTTTTTAAATGATCGTTTGATCTAATATTTATTTGGTTTAGCATGAGTATCAAAGACTGATGTGATATAATACAGAACAGAGGATAAACGTGTAGTGAAACAAATAATTTTTGTCCTTTGATCCTGTAGTAACGCTGTAATAAAAAAAGCAAAATTTTTCGCAATCCTTCATTTGATACATTTATCTAACCTTTATCTAACTTTTGCCACTTTTGCTGAATGTAAATCAACTGTATTTTTCACAAAAATAAATTGATAATTTAAAAGTGGCACCATTCAGAGCTAAGATTTCAACCAGATAAAAAAAACGTCTATGCTCAGTTACCTAATGAGAATCACCCTACAATCAAAGCTCAGCAGCCGTTACATTCTTAACGACCTGTGGACTATTGAAGTCGATAGCTGAGCTGTGTGTCACCCATACCTAATTGATTCAAAAAACCTTACTGACAATAAACTCTCTCTTTCCATTTCATCTACGCGTGCACGAGACATAGAAGAAAAAAAAGTACTTGAAAATTCGTAGAGCAGCCGGAGGCTGTCAAAAAGTGAAAGGTCGCCGTTGCGAGCGTGTCTGCCGTTTACTTGAATAAGTACGTGCGAGTGCCCCACGCGCGACGTTGTTCGATGGGTGGCTGCTTCCTCTCGACCGGTAGCTGCTTTCGCTCTCGCGCGTAGTACAAGTCCGTTGGCTTCCCTTGGCCTGCTAGGTTGGTAACGATCTTGCGAGCTCGAGCCTCGTAATTACGAGCACGATTAGTTTTTTTCAAGAGCCATATCAATTTTTCGCCTCGTGGTGTGCTTTTTATATACCAATTATTCTATACTGTAAACTATGTCGTGAGATTTTTATAGCTTGTGACAATGTGAGGTGGTTCAGAGAATGGGTTGTCCACAGTACACTTAATTTAAATGATTTCTCGTTTACGTACCTGAACTTCGGTAAGGCTGTCCCGACTATTTTTTAGCATCCATAAAAAAGCTAAAAAAAAGCCCAATGATGACAACAAACGCAAGATGACCGTCAGAGTGAGAGATAATCCGAGTGTCGAATAGGTGTACTACTTTTTGGTCATCACTATTGGTCACTTCGTTGACGATAGCACCTCGAAAATGGCCAGTTACGACGAACCGATGGCCCAAAAGTGCCGGCAGTGGTGCGAGTCGTCAAACAGTTGGAAAAATATGAGCGCAATGGAGCGCGAGTGTATGATCGAGAGGCGCAGAACGGCAATGCTCATGGAGTGCTCGGAAATGCTGCGGCGCGATGGTACTCAAAAATATGGTCGCGAAGCTTTCAAGGTTTTGTTTCAAAATGAGGTAAGTAACAAAAAAAAAAACTGAAGTTTGAACGGGGGATTCTAACGGGGGACTACATTCATACATCAATTTCTACATATTTATTGCTATAAAGTATAAAGCAATACTGAAAATTATTCACTTTGATTTTTCGTACAGCTGACAAATTTTTCTACTCCCCTAATTTGTTTTATAGTTAAACAATTTGAAAATTTATTTTGACTACCATCAGTTACTGACATTATTTCATTCAACCGGCTACAATCATGTAATATGAAATATTTTGATACTTTTGCTCTTGACAAATTGAACTGAATTTTAAGGGGAATAGTTTTTTTAGATATCAATTAATTTTGAACCATGAGTTAGTGTTTTGTAACAATGTAGTCCAAAAAATTTAAAATTAATAAGTAACGAACAGTAATGAAGGATCTTAATCACTATTTAAAACTAGCCTAAAGAAATGTTGACACGATATCTATAAAGCAAGTTTGTAAACAAATAAAAGGGAAAAATAAAAATATCCTATTTTCATTTTTAATGGCTTTGAGTTATTTTTCTGAAATGACTTCAAATACTGCTCGAAAATTATTTTATTATTTATGTATATAAAAAATAATGTAAAATTGTGTTTATTTTGTTATGAACCATTTTATAGTATAATCAATGTTCATTACACTATAAAGATAAATATCTAGTGCGGCTGAATTACTAGGTACTTTTATTAAATTTTAAAACATCAATAGTGCACAGGTAATGTTACTATCGATGCAAAAAAAGCATATTACGTAACGTTTAAGTGATGTATGTGATTAATTTTTCTATTCTAAAAAAAAAAACAAGATGACTTTACTTACGTATTTTTTCTACCTTTGTAGGTTTCATAGATTCTTTCAGACTCTCAAAGTTAAATTTAAAAATTTAGATCCTACCTCTATGCACTATCTTAAAATATAAACAGTCTTGATTATTACATTTGCTGAAGTATCTCTGAATTTAAATTTTTGTGCCAGGATATTGCACGTGTATCCTAATGACACATTATGACAAAAATTTAATAGCAGTTCAAATGTATGAGCTTTCATTGAATAAATCTACAGGCATTATTTTACTTGAGTTCCAATGGACGACAAAAATTTAAAATAATTTGTAAAATACAATCAACATAATCAATCATATGAAATCCTTGTAAAAAAAAACCTCTGTACAGACAGATAATGAAATTTGGAGTAATAAAAAATGTAAAAAAAAAGGGAGCAACGAGAAGAAATCTCAAAGACATATCTATGCGAGCACAGTTGGTGCTCTAGAGTGCGATCAAGGTGTTTAATCGCCTAGGGCTGTGGGGCCTTGATGCTTCGCAACCGAACTCTGGACCTCGCCACAGCCTCCATTCTTGATTCCTTTTCTAATTTTAATTAGCCACTCTCGTGAGATCTATCTCCAGGGAGACACCTTATGCATCGTTGTTCACGTCTGGTTTAAGAAGGTAAAAAAAAATTATCGTGCAAAAAAAATTTACAATAGAAACTGAGACGGTCGTCGTTATCCTATTATAACTAAATTGGGATTCATTGATTCTTACAATCGTCTGCAGTAATTTAGTAATTTAAGTTCAATAGATTCGATTTTTCTGACATTTATTTTATCATTAAAACAGTGTCATAAGTACTAATATTTTTGACTGATAAATATTTGTATTCACGGGACTAACTTGTTTGTATTAAAAGTTACTTATAATTTTAATTATTGTAAAAAGATTCTTGACACTCTGTACTATTATTGTGAATTGCTATCGTTAGCGTTGTTTGTCATTAAAATTTACGTGCAGCAATTTACAATTTTCTCTACCAATGTTAAGGTTTTCGTAAGACATTCAACTAACAAAAATATTACATAACATATATAAAACTTACATTGATCGATAAACATAATATGATGGAGGAAAATTTTCATGCAACGCGGTTCAACGCAAGTCTAATCTGAAACTGAATTATCGCAATGTATAGTTTGTTAGGCATACGAACGCTCTACCCGATAAGAGTAATTGCGTTATCGCATTGTATTGATGGCCTCGACCTTAACCGTAAGAAAGAAATCGAGAATATCACACGAGCAAATAAAAATAAATCAATTTATTGAAAAAAATGCATTTTTTAATTATTCCAAAGAAAGTAGTATTAGTTAAAGTGTGAAATGAATGACAAATTATTACATAAAAATGGGACTGGAGAAAAGTAATAAGTCTGATAAGTGTTAAATTCTCTCAATCTCCAGTTGCAATAGTCAGAGAATGTATAAATTTATGTAAAAACTAATTTAGCTTTCATGACAATTATTTTGTTACACAGGAGATTCTAATTTTCTCGTGCTAATTATATGTTTTAGCCATTCAACAGATTTTTTTGGTGTTCGAGTTAAATTAACATCATCGAAGTCAACGTGCACTAATCCAAACTGATACCTGTAACATAGAGGTTCTAGTAATATTTTCAACTTCAATATGTATCTTATATAATACCACGTTAACTTACGTAAATCCTGCAAACCATTCATAACTGTCCAATAAGCTCCAGTATGTATAACCTCTGACGTCACACCCATCTTTTATTGCTAACAATATTGCTTTTAAATGAGAGTATACGTAATGTATTCTTATATCATCTTCTTTGCCACTTGAAGAAGATACACCATTTTCGGTTATGTACACTGTTGGACGGTTGTATTTGTCCCTGATTATCTTTAGAAGTTTATGAAGCCCTTGAGGAACTACCTTCAAACGTATTTATATTGTTTGTTTTAACTTTGAAAAATCCAAAAGTATATAGTTCATCATATCTGAAAAAAACTCTTTTTATGTGAATCCAAAAACCTACTTTTAACCAAGGAGTTTGTGCTGAGCCCCATTTGGGATCAAATTCATATTCCAGTCCTTCGTCATTCGGCCAATTTACCATTGAAGATCGTTGTAACGGTTTTGCCAATCGACTCGTGTAATAGTTCAATGCAAGGAAATCCGCTGACCCTCTGTAATAATCGAGGGTGAATTTTAAAGTCTAGTCTTAGTTTTTTGAAATTATTAGAATTTATTTCACCTTATAAATTTAACCCAAAACGTTGAAAAAGTTGGCAGTCTGGATTTTTCATAGCCCTGGGCTCGACTTCTTTCAGCCACTTTTTTCTTCATTATTTCCGGGTAATCCCCGGATTCTGAGAAAACTGGATGTGCCTGCCATCCGCACTCAAATTCAAAAGCTAAATCATCGAATTGTACATTGTTTTCATTTTCATTGGGTAATCCCCGGATTCTGAGAAAACTGGATGTGCCTGCCATCCGCACTCAAATTCAAAAGCTAAATCATCGGATACAATGTCATTATCATCTTTACTAAATGAGCCCATACATTGGTAAGCAATGCCAACTTTTCCTTTAAACTTTTTACGAAACATTCTATCGTAAGTGTGATACGCAAAAGCATTTGCCTTTAATTGATTGTGAACGCAGTGGTAGTCACCGGTACCATTCAGTTTACGGGCTAAAATAAAGAAATCTCATAGAAAAACATAGTTGTTTCAAAAAAAAAAAAAAAAAAAAAAAAAAAAAAAAATAAATTAAATTAAAAAAAATAAAAAAAAAAAAAAAAAAAAAAAGAAAAAAACAAATTCAATTAACTTAATAAAGTTATAAAATAAACTCAAAACAAAAAGAATAGTTTAAGCTTACCTGGTGGAAAACTAGCTGTCGTATAAGCCATTGTGCAGAATACCGATGGCTCATTTAAAGTTATGAAATACTTTACACGGTGACCAAAATTTTCAAAAATAACTCTAGCGTAAGACGCAAACAGATAGGGCATAAGATCATTCAACCATCCTCCCGCTTTCTCTATAGATTGTGGATGATCCCAATGATATATCGTTACAAACGGTATGATTCCTTTGGCATCTAGTTCATCCAAAAGACTATGATAGTAACGTAATGCACTTTTGCTCACGTAACCACTATGACCTTTTGGCAGTAGTCGAGAATATATCGTTACAAACGGTATGATTCCTTTGGCATCTAGTTCATCCAAAAGACTATGATAGTAACGTAATGCACTTTTGCTCACGTAACCACTATGACCTTTTGGCAAAATTCTTGACCAACTCATAGAAAAGCGGTAATGATCGACCTTTGATAAAATAGTCATTCCGATTAAATTGTATTTTTCGTAGTATTGAGGTAGTATCTTACCCCTAAATTATTTATAATATCCACGTCTTCTTTATATCTGTGGTATGAATCAGTGGTAACATCAGCATTCGATCCATCATAAATTTTTTCCGGCCAATGATGTACAAAGTGATCCCAATTACTAATTGTCTTGTCTGTTTTCATAACTTTTTAGTTAACATCATTGGAATAATGTTAAGTAACATACACTAACTAATCTTACCACTGACATTCCATGCACCTTCAATTTGATAAGCAGATGAAGCAACTCCAATTAAGAACCCATCGGGGAATAATAAATGGTTTTCATCGTTACATATTACTGATTTTACGACAAAATTCAAAAGAAATACACTAAACATTTGGAAATGGTGGGATAGTCACAAGAAAATTCGAAAAAAAATGTATGTTGGCGACATTTAACATTCAGGTATCTACAAAACTAAGTCTGACAAACAAGTTTATTCACTATTATATACCATTTCTTTAAACTTTTATCTTATCACTACTATGAAAAAATACTAGCGATGTAGAAGCAATATTCTCTTGTTGAGAGCTTATAATCTCGAAATATTTTTCTAGGGTAAAGAATTCTCCTTCTTCTTCTATGTACAAAAATAGTTTTAAGAAACTTATTTGATACATATCGTTAAAACATAACTTACAATATATGTTTCATGAATTCACGATCTGTACGAAATACTTAAGAATATGTAAACTCACTTTAATAATGATAAGAAAAGTTTCATCCCATTAGGTGAATACGTAAAAAAATTATTTTCGTCAGAGGATTAATTTAACTATCATTTAATTGTTATTCAGGTGTAAGAAAAAATTTGATTTTCTTTACCAATGTATCTTATGATTATCTCATTATGTAATTATTAATTTGCACAGCATTAAAAGTTCTGTCAAGTTTTTGTAAAATTTGACAAGGTTGCAAGGTGATGCCTTTAGTGTTGAGAAGATTCCATACATTATGTACATAGTTTCTAAAAGGTTCTACAAAGTTTCTTAAATTATTTATGAGACTTCTGTAAGGTTTATAGAATTTTCCATAACTTTCTTCAAGGTACTATACAGTTTTAGTGAAGTTTATAAGGTGCTTTGTAGATTAAAATAGGCAAAGCCATTACATCTGGAAGTGAATAAATGACACCAAGATAAGAAAAAAGTTTGATTTTTTTTTAAAAGCGTTAACAAAAATATATTACAAAAAATTTTTAGAAATCGTAATTGATTCGAAGTAATACATGTAAAAATTAATTTAGATTCAATAGTTAGCTTTTCACGTAGGAGATAATAATTTTCTCGCTCTCATAACGTTTTTCAGCCACTTTACAGATTTTTTAGGAGTTCGAGTTCTATTTGCATCATTGAAATCGACGTGCATTAATCCAAACTGAGCTCTGCAATAATAAAGTTTTGGTGAGGTTTCGTATGAAAAATCCACTTTTACTTATGACAAGAACTTACGTAAATCCTGAAACCCATTCATAACTGTCCAATAAGCTCCAGTATGTATAACCTCTAACGTCACACCCATCTTTTATTGCTAACAATATTGCTTTTAAATGAGAGTGTAAATAATTTATTCTTAAATCATCTTCTTTGCCACTTGAAGAAGACACACCATTTTCAGTAATATATACTATCGGGTTATTATACTTCTCTTTAATACTTTTTAAAAGTTTGTTTAGCCCTTCAGGTACAACCTATAAAAAAAGTTTGTATTATTTACTTTTGGTGGAAATATAAAATCTAATAACTGAGAAAAATCAGATTTTTAAAAATAATAGTAATAGTTTTAACTTATGGATAAAAATTAAAACCATACAATATTTTGAAACTTAAATCCTATAAAGTAAATTTTTTGTAAAAGTAATTTTCATTCAATCTAAATTCTTACTTTTAACCATGAACTTTGAGCTGAAACCCAACTAGAGTCAATTATGTATTCTAATCCTTCATCATTAGGCCAATTTACTATTGAAGACTGCGGTAATGGTTTCACTATTCTACTAGTATAATAATTTAATCCGAAGAAATCTGCTGTTCCTCTGGAAGAATCAAGTAAAAAGTAATAATTATGCTTACAATTCCAACTTAAGAAAATAATTTATGTAAACTATTAAGTTTACTGTATAACATCTGAATTTCACTTTACTTTATATGTTCAATCCAAAATTTAGAAAAAGTTGGCAGTCTGGATTTTTCATAGCCCTGGGCTCGACTTCTTTCAGCCACTTTTTTCTTCATTATCTCCGGGTAATCCCCGGATTCTGAGAAAACTGGATGTGCCTGCCATCCGCACTCAAATTCAAAAGCTAAATCATCGAATTGTACATTGTTTTCATTTTCATTGAAAGCACCCTTACATTGATACACAATACCAACTTGGCCATTAAATTTTTTTCGGTATACTTTGTTATATATGTGATAAGCGAGAGCGTTAGCCTTCAACTGGTTGTGAATGCAATGGTAATCACCTGTACCATTCAATTTACGGGCTAGAACAATCAAATACCAATAAAAATAAAAAAAATTCTGTTTACAGCTCAGTCATTCGAACGTGACTTAATGTAAAAATTTTCTTAATGTATAAATTGAGAAAAAAAAAGTACAAAATGCTTCAAATAAAATTTACCTGGAGGAAACTCAGCCGTTGTATATGCCATGCCACAAAATATGGATGGCTCATTCAAAGTTATAAAATATCGTACTCGATGTCCAAAATTTTCAAAAACAACGCTAGCGTAAGACGCAAACAGATAGGGCATGTTATTATTCAACCATCCTCCCGCTTCTTCTATAGATTGTGGATGGTCCCAATGATATATCGTTACAAACGGTATGATTCCTTTGGCATCTAGTTCATCCAAAAGACTATTATAGTAACGTAATGCACTTTTGCTCACGTAACCAGTATGACCTTTTGGCAGTAGTCGAGACCAACTTATTGAAAAACGGTAATGATCGACCTTGAACGCAATAATTAATTAGTTGAATTTTTTCAACGACTAGGGTAGCTAAGACCTCATTTTTTATGTGGGCTAATGTTTACTCACCCTTAGATCATTTAGAATGTTTACGTCTTCTCTATATCTATGGTATGAATCAGTAGTAACGTCAGCGTTTGACCGATCAGCAATTTTTTCTGGGTAACGGTGTACGAAATGATCCCAAGTACTAGTTGCCTTATCTGTATAATATGCCTTTTAATAAACTTAATTTAACGGATTTTGAAGCATCTATGCAAATGGATCTTACCACTGACATTCCATGCACCTTCAATTTGATAAGCAGATGAAGCAGCTCCAATAAGAAATCCTTTCGGAAATTTCAGTGTATTATTTTCATTAGTACATTTTACTAACGATGTCACCATAAATAACAACAGTAGTTTAAACATTTTTAATATAAAACTATGCATAGGGGAAATAAAAAAATATGAATGAAAAAATTTTAGTAATAAGCATTCACCGGTAAAAAATTTTTATTTGACGTCGCTTTATGACTTTGTCGCTTGTTTTATATACTTCTTTGAAAAATTATCTTATCACTTGACTAACAAAAAACGCTAATGCAATATTGCGATTATTTTCACAATGAATTTCCTTATTGAAAAAAAATATTGTATATTGAAATATTGTTGAAAAATATTAGACCAACACTTATGTAAATATTATTTAATTCTCACAAAAATTTACAATAAGTATGCACTATGTACCAACTGCTAAATTTACTTCTTTAAGTATATCTATCTCAAATGTCAAGAACTTAACGATCCAAGATCGTGTATGAATGTTAACTTAATAATTCTTAAGAAATTTTGTCTACCACATTTTTTATTTCTAAAAGAAGTAAGTAAAATACACAGAAAAAAAACACGAGATGTAAACTTTGTAAAGTTTCCAATAGTTCTTAAATGAGGGAAGTAAAAATTGAAAATCTGCGTTTATTAGCATTAGTTGATGTAGAGCGATAATTTACTGAAATTAAATACATTCAACAATAAATATTAATCTTTGCTCTTTTACAACTGAAAAAAAAAAATTTTTTTATCATCATATCGTACGTGACAGTAGAAACATAAAATCGAGAATTCGATTTTATCTCGTGTACTATGCACAAAAGTTGTTTTAAATAATTAATGCATCCTCGTGGATGCTTTCATCAGTTTTATTAAAGTAACTTAAAAGTATTGAAATTTTGGATACATGATTAAAAATTGGATAATGGCATTGAGCCTTATATTGACCTTTCATCAGTAAAAGTCAAGAAGGTGTATTAAATAATAGATAAAAGTATTTAGTAATAGCACTCAATGAGACCTACATTTTATTTTATTATTTGATACCGAATCAGTATTCGCCGAATCAATAATTATATGCCAACGAGTGCTAATGCGAGCAGTTTATTGTATTTCCAAGCCTACATGTGTTTTTGTGTAAATTATTTTTTCTATAACAATAAATAATTGAATATGATGCATTCAAATAATTTATCGGTGAACTGATATAATTTTTGTCTTATCTCTAGAGTCAGTGACTTCATAAATTTATCTAGTACTTAACGCAATGACAAGTATTGATAAGTAATATTTTATTTCATGACGTATTGTCTGCTTACATTATTATAACTGCTTATCGCATCCTCGTAACAATTGATTACGCTACTCCAATACATAACTTATTATGTGCTTTTGAAAAAAAAACTTTGTACTTAAATTTAAATGTCAATTGTACATTGGTTAAAACATAAATTCCAGTTATCCTTCTATTCATCATGTAGTTATTAATAATTTTTTAACTCTGTTGAAGACCAAGGTTTGAGAAAATAAAGAACATGAAGAAATAATAAATCTCATATGTTCCAAAATTTATTTAGCATATGGTCAGAGATGTCTACTCATCTCTGATATGGTCTAAGCTAAAATCTAAAATATTAAATTATAATCCAATAAAAATATTGATAAATAATCCAAACAAAACCTAAATTACTTTGTAAGCTGATGTTACAGAGACGCAAATTTTAATTGAGGGCTCGATGGATTTAATAATTTTCAGTCAGTTAAGAATCACTTTGATAAAAATTATTGCTACTCTAAGATGCACAGATTTTCTTAATAAAATTAGATGGATTCTTTTTGCCTGCTTTTCCGGGACAATAATGTTGCAAGATGAAAATGATCAATTCTTTGTTGCTCTCTCAACATGTATATCAAAAGAAAAGGATATAACAAGTAGAATACAAAGAAGTTAGGCTTCAAACTGAATTTAATATGCTGCGGGATTGGCTAAATATTTATTACCCATATCCTTTTGGTATAAATATTAAACGAAAAAAATTGTCGAGTAGAATATGATAAACTAACGTGAAGATATTATTTTGACTAGCTGAGAAAATTTGAAAAATAATATTACATCTCTAGCAAGGAATACAACAGTAATAATTATAACAACAAATTTAAGTGAACAAAACTTTAGTCAATTAAAAGAAGATAATGATTTTTAAATAGTCATCTTCAAAGCAGTGAAAAGTTTGCTCATATTTTTGAGACGATTACTTCAAAAGTTGAACACAAAAGTTGATCATTTTAAACATACATTTTACTTGCACCTTGTTTTAATAAGCAATACTCTGTTTTTAAATTAATATAAAATCTTAGAAAATAATTACAATTATATTCAATGGCATAAACACAAAATATTATATCTCATAGAAAAAGTAAAAACAGTTTAATACTGTTACGTGGGAAAACCGAAAGGTAAGGAGGTGCTTCGCGAGAACGATCAAAACCTTGGATATAAAATTATAAATATAAAATTATAATGTATTATATTAAATATAATATTAAATTATATTAAATATAAAATTATAATGTAATGTTCTGATTCTAATTTCACGAATATCTCATAGTATTGGAATTGATTGTGTTCCAAACAGATTTTACTTTTAATTAACACTATTTAATTTTAGTTATGAAGTAAATGTTTTGCCTTCCGTTAATATACCATGGAATACAATGATAAGTATTTTATAAAATCAAACAAAATACTTTAATAACTTACAATTGTAATTCTTATTTTTGCAGGTATTTTTGGAAAAACTATTTTTTCTCTTCGACCAAAACAGAGATGGTTATCTAAAACAAGACGAATGGGTCGAATTCCTGAAAGGCAGACTGACGTAAGTTTACACATGATATCCAAATTTTTCAACAATAGTTATGGGTCACAGTTAACGTGCCTTTTTCTAGTACCGAAAAACAAAACGACTTTGTCGATCAAATCGAGAGTGTCACTTACGTACTCTGTGGTGAAGAAGCGGTCAAACACACAACATTTCGCCAAATATTTCACACGAAAGGGGTACGAAAAAAATACTCTTAATTATTACACTACACAATGAATTAAAATAGTAGTTTTCCTACGAGTTTGAAAAGTCTCTATTTGCGAACCGAGAGGTTTGCGGCCCGAGCCGAAGGCGAGGGACGTAACGAGGTTCGTAAAGGAGACTTTTCGAACGAGTTCCGGAAAACTGCTTTTTCGCCCGAGGAAACACCAGCCTCCCAAAACCACCCGAGTGCGGAAAAATTTATTTTACTACTCAAATTAAAGTTGTTTACCAAATTATGTTATATATTCCATACTCCAAAGGATAATATTATCATTTGGTCTTATTGTTTGATGATTATAATCAACATAAAAATATTTTAGTTATCAATCAGCGTTATCAAACAATAATAGACGTGAGAGCCTTATCAATACTCCGTGTGTGAAAATTTTTGAAATTTGATTTTTAGTTTTAGAAAGATAGTGTATAATAAAATTTTCAACAAATTATTGTTTCAACTCACCATGCGTCACATCAATTAATAAATTTTAGATCATAAAATGAAATTTTTTTATAACTATTAACATTATTTATTACAGATTATTGAGAAATTATTCAAGCTCATCGATGTGGATTGCACAGGGAGTGTTACATCCGAACAAATAATGGAATTCATTTCATCGATCAGCAGTTCTAGGTTTGCATGTTGCTAAACTGATAAATTATTTATCCGAACATTACTTTGATAGGATGTTATGAGTATTTACACTTTAGGTCGAGATTAGGCTTTGACGAACGTAATTTAGAATGGTTGGAAAAAATCTTCAAGCTGACCGTAGGTAATGAAAAAGAAATTAGAAGAGAGGAGTTCAAAAAAATCGTCACATCAAAAAATGTAAGATTTTCGAGAATTAAACTTTTTTATTATTAGAGTTTGACTACGTTCTGATGGTCCTTAAATTATGAGTGTAATTTTTCGTAGCCATTCTTTACCGAAAGGGTCTTCCAAATATTTGATAAGGACAATTCCGGTACGATATCGCTCCAAGAATTTCTCGACGCTATGCACCAGTTCAACGGAAAGACGATAGACGATAAAATCAGATTTCTCTTCAAGGTCTACGATATCGATGGTACACTTCTGTGTCTTATTTATAAATTAGATAACTTATACGGTAATCTAGTTTAATTAACAAACAGCAGTTGACAAGTGTAAAAACATGATTATAACGGCAGCATTATAAAATAATAGACCATTATAGCAAATAAACATTAAACATGATTATAACGTAGTATAAATTCTTGTTAAAAATGCTTCTTTTTCGAAGACAAGTTCAGACTACACGAGGAAAAACTTGAGCTCATTTCAAGTGCAAATCGTTTTTAGTTTAATTTTTTCTATTTTAAGTCGTAAAAGGAGATATTTGAGGTTTCCCATAATGCTCCTGAATAACTTGAAAAATTAGTCACTTACTTCCAAATAGAATACATTTTTTGTACGAGAGCTTTTTAATCAGATTGTTGCATAATTTTTGAGGAAAAAATGCACGTGATATAACAATTAACTGAGTAATATGTAGAGATAAGAAGAAAAAAAAAAAAAAAAAAAAAAAAAAAAAAAAAAAAAAAAAAAAAAAAAAAAAAAANAAAGTGAAATAAATAATTTTTATGCCAAGAATGTTTCTCTTTGAAACACCATAAATATTTTAAAATTATAAAATGTTTTTCATACTAACACTAAAATCAATTTAATCTATTCTATAAATAAAGTCACCTTCTTTAAAAATGTGACAGTATTATCTATATAAACCAATAAATCATGACAATAAAAAAAAACACGTGTAAGACCTCTGTGACGTACCAAGTAAGGGAAATTACCAAAAAATCCCCGTAGGTGACGGTCTGATCCAGCTACGAGAGCTTGAGCATGTGCTGCGTGCCTGTATGGAGGAAAACGGGATGAGCTTTAGCAACGAGCAAATCGAGGAGCTGACGATAGCCTTGTTCGAAGACGCAGATCAGGGCAGTCGAGGGGCAATCACCTTCGAGGCTCTAAAAAGGCAGCTCGAGAAGCATGACGGTCTCCTGGAAAACCTAACCATTAGGCAAGTCAATTAACGCATGTGGATCGTTAGTACCGGATCCTCTGGACCGCTTTTCGTACAATTGATGTGCGAGTGTCTTAATTAGCTGACTATAATTTCGATTTATTTACCTTACTGTTTACTTGCCAAATCTACAGTGGTAGTGTAAGGATTGGTGGGACTGATTTGCAATATTGATGTTTTTTTTTTAATTTTGTTGCAATCTGTAAACTCAATCATAATGCATATGAGGTGGGCTTACAGATAGCAAACATTCTCATTTTTTTAGACAATTATTTTAGTTGAAAAATTTTTTTAGTATTTCCTCGTTAACGTTTTTTTTGGACCACATCTTCAGTAAAACTTTTTATTATTTTGATATGTCTTTCAAAATAGGCAAAAATTCGTGAATCTGATTAACATTTTTAAACCAATGTCCAAATAAGTTAAAATGAATATTTTTCAATTCTTCCTTGCAATAGTAACGCAGTATAAATATATAAGTAAACAAATGATGGATAAAGCAGGATTATATTGTGTTAATGATAAGAAAAATCCTAGCGCTATTTATAAATTTGTGTCTTTATAAGAAGCATTTACAAACTAATGTATCAATTTTAACCAGCTGCAACTAAATAAATGGTTTTAACATTTTAGTATAGACAGATGGCTCGTGCCGCCAAAACCCGAAGAGCCGAAGCAATCGTACAAAAAGTTCCTGTCCAATTTGCGACCGTACCAATTAACGAAGCCTTATTTGAAGAATAATTACGTGAAAATTGCCTTTATCTCGACATTCGTCTTAATCAACTTCGCTCTTTTTGCCACAAGAGCCTACCAATACAGACGTTCGAACGGTTACGTCATTGTAGCGCGAGCTTGCGGTGAGTTGGACGATCATACGAACAATTAAAATTTGAAATCTGTTCTTGATTGCGAGTCATTAGAGACGTCTAGAACTACACTATCCCAACAAACTGAGAGTTAATCGGGTTAAATTTACATTTTATTCGTTCTCCGGATAATCTTTCCACAGCATTCTTTTTCTCCAGGCCAATGTCTCAATTTCGACTGCATGTTCATATTGGTGTTGATGCTGCGGCAGTGCATCACCTTCCTAAGAACCCATGGATTTAGTTCTGTGTTGCCACTGGACAACCACATATACCTGCACAAAACGACCGGCGTGCTCATCGGCATACTGAGCTCTGTCCATACGCTCATGCATTTACTCAATTTCAGTAAGTCCAGCGGCCAAATTTCAATGACAAACATTCTCAAATGTTTTTTTTTTTTTTTTTTTTTTTCAACATATACACTTGAGCAAATATGAAAAATTTTAATGGGCTCTATACTCACTGAACCATCAACGTAAATGACGATCGTTTAAAAAAAAACTCAGGTAAAAAGTGTTTCCCATGACCAACATTCATCAAGCTACATCAATTATTTCTAGACGACCACAACATTTTACACGACATTAATGAATTTCAATGTGTCATACGTTTATATCCCCCGGAGACGAGTTTTCGATTTTAAAAGTACGTGAACGCAAAAATACACCACAGCTAATTAGGTAGCAATTCCACAGGCTTACATGCCAAATGTAGCGTCATATGTCATATTTATTATACAGACCTACGTAACACCGTTAAATACCAGATGGTTTAACAAAAATTTATGTGAATCACGCGATAAAAAAATATCCGTGTCTCTTATATATACATATCAAACGTTTCGTTTTTTGCATGAAAAAGATTCAACCATGCACTTATCAATACGAAGAATTTAATTTTAAGTACGTGTAAGGAAATTTTTTAAACTTGATTGATTGTGGTAAAGATCTCTCTCGACTGAGCGAAAAAGTTCGAAAAAAAATCTTGTTAATCGTATATGATAATGTACAAAACGACAGAAAAAAAAAAATAATAATAATATGTAAAAAGACCGATACATTATGATTTGGATCGCTGCAACTTTTGCAGGTACGATCGTGATCTACGACGAGCATCTGAACAGCGCCAATTACACGATGTCCGAGTGGCTACTGACGAGCCGGCCAAAAGTGTTCGGGCTTGTGGCAGGTCTGGCGAATCCGACCGGGGTCGCCTTGATCGTTATCCTAACAATCATGACCGTCTGCTCGATGCCTTTCGTACGCCGAGGTGGCTGCTTCGAGGTATCATTATTTTTCATTTTCTCCGTTTCACTATGTACACATGTATAAAATATTACCCTGCAACGTAGTAAATTTTTATGTGCACTACATACGTTCCAATATGAATCATATCACGATCCAAATGACGCAAGTTGGGCTTTTACGCCTGAAATCGGTGATGAAAGATACTCGCGTGTATCCCAGTTTGCTTAACGAAAGGAGAGAAAAGGTGACATTCAGATGGCTGATTGCGAGGTTTATAGGGTCATTTTGTACGCGTCAATGGGATTTTATTACGAGCTGCCCTCGATTTTACCGATCGAACGCTGTTATTCCCTTCCTTATAAAAAATTATCCTTTGTCGATGCTCCAAGTGCATTGAATTAAAAATTCCTTTGATGTCACAACACGATGTTGTCAAAATACGCTTTCTCGACAAAAACAGGTATTCTACTGGTCGCATCTGCTTTACGTGCCCTTCTGGCTGCTGATGATAGTGCACGGGCCGAACTTCTGGAAGTGGTTCGTGGTGCCGGGGACGATATACGCGATCGAAAGGACGCGCCGGCAGGCTTGGGTCAACGCTCAGAGGGGTAAGACTTACATAAGCTCGGGTCTGCTGTTGCCTTCGAAGGTCACGCATTTGGTGATCAAGAGGCCGCCGCACTTTGATTTCCGACCGGGGGACTACGTTTTCGTCAATGTGCCCGTCATTGCTAAGTACGAGTGGCATCCGTTTACCATCAGCAGCGCTCCTGAACAAGAAGGTAAGAGAGAAGCACGCTGTTGTGATTTTTGCTGTGCATACATTTTCGTTTGTCCAAATTTTGCGTGAAGATTCAAGTGTTACCTACAACGTGATGCTAAACTTGTCATACATTGTGAAAATCTTTGATCAAATATTGCAATTCCAAAATTGTTTCGGATAATTATTATAAAAAGTTGAATTATTTTGTAACAAAACTGATACTTTTAAAAAGCTTCGTTTTTAAATTTTTATTTGATTTTATTGAGGGTGAATTAATTTTTACAAATATTTTTTCATACAAAGGTATTTCAATGTGAGGCTTCATTTCAACCATATCAGTAAAATATTACGATGATTCTGTCTAGCACAGACAAGAATGTTTTGTATATTCTTAGCCCACTTATTTGACTAAATTCAATAAATGGTTTTTTCGTTCCAACTTTGATTAGAGTACATGTGGCTGCACATCAGAGCCGTCGGTGAGTGGACAAATAGTCTTTACTCTTACTTCGAGAAGGAGCAACAAAAACTCCATAGAGGGGAAATTCTGCCCGTCGAAAATTGCTCATCGAGAAAAACACCGTACGAGCCATCATCTTTTTTTTTTTAATTAAAGTTTTTTCACTGTATAATTTTATACTTTTCGATTCCAGATGCAAGGTGGTAAAAAGCATCCCAACTTTTCTTGAAAAGAAATTCTCCACTGATTCTTTGGAGGATCCGCGAGGCTTGACTAATCCAGTTTTCGTTCAGGACCACGAAAAACCCACTTCGTCGTCCAACCCTACCATAAGCTCCCCATCGTTTTCAAGCTCTACGGAGTGTAAAAATTTTTCAATACTTTTTTGCCAACAATTTTTTGAATACAAATTATTATTCACCATAAATAAAATTTCAGTGAATCCGACGTCTCAGAAAATGTTAAAGGAAAAGAAATTACACCAGCTTGTTTTGGGTAGCAAAATACCTCTTGAAAAATCGTTTTCGATGCCGGATATGCAAACAAAAACTAAAAAACGTCAGAGATTGATGGTGTAAGTCAACGAGTTTCAAATCAGATTTAATAGAATCCCATACGATTTAAAAATTGTTACAACTAAACACAACTTTCAGTCTTCGTGACTACATGAGATCTGAATCAGAGAAAAGTTTCGACGAGTGCTCGATTCGACGTGCCAGGCTGAAATCCCTTGGCTTGGCATACTTGAGCCCGCAAAATAAGTCTTTAGCTCAGAGTTTCCGTTACATGCGCACTAAACCCACAATTATTGCATTCAAAACACCAAGTTTGGAAAACTGTGAGTTCGAAGCTCCTACGTCGGCTTCAGAATCAAGTAATACTTTTCTCGATATCTATGATGTTGATAACTTAATGAGAATTTTTTCTTTTTTAGATATTAATATACTTTTCTTTATCTTTAGCTATCAATGGAAATGAACCAAAAACAGATTCATCAAACTTACCAGAAATGATTGCCGAAGAAGGGAGAGTTGGATACATGGGAAATAAGAAGAGACCAAGTTGCTTTAGAGGTGTAAAGTGTGAGCCTTCTTGTCACGTGGCCATGAATTATCCAGTTGGCAAGCCCCTTGAGGTATGAATGTAATATTATCATATTAGTATTTATACGTTTTCTCAAATCCAAAGCATTAAAATTTTATACGTGGGTTACTTTGTGTAATAAAATTGTAATCAACAGATTTATCTGGATGGACCATATGGTGCACCATCGAGCCACATATTTCAAGCTCAGCATGCCGTTCTGATAGCCACAGGCATAGGTGTTACACCTTTCGCGTCATTACTTCAGTCCATTATGCATCGCTATTGGAACGCACGACATACGTGTCCTAAATGCTCATTCTCTTGGTCCAGTGAACTGCCAGTCACTGTTATGAATCTCAGAAAGGTAACTCACATATTTTATAACCGTAACGTATACTAATAAATTATTTTTTAAGACTTTTTTCGAAAAAGTAATTAAAAAGTATTGAGAGAAATTGTTTCAAAGAAAATATTTACAACATTTATCTCGCAGCGATAGATTTAAAATCCTTTAAATTAAGTAGTCTGTTTTTGAATTTTTTATTCATCCTTATTTATAATTTTTAATTACCCTTTTTTGTAAAACAAATGGTAAGCATAATAATTTGACATTCAGATGGCTGATTGCGAGGTTTATAGGGTCATTTTGTACGCGTCAATGGGATTTTATTACGAGCTGCCCTCGATTTTACCGATCGAACGCTGTTATTCCCTTCCTTATAAAAAATTATCCTTTGTCGATGCTCCAAGTGCATTGAATTAAAAATTCCTTTGATGTCACAACACGATGTTGTCAAAATACGCTTTCTCGACAAAAACAGGTATTCTACTGGTCGCATCTGCTTTNATAACATTAATAATTTTATGATTTTTTTTAGCAAGTTTATAAAAAAATTTCTTGTTTATTCAATAATTGTTAAATAGTTTGTATCTATGTATATTAGGCTGTTGAAATGAGTGAGGCAAAATAATTATCTTCAAGCTATAAGTAAATTTAAGTTAAATATGTCAAATGTGTTAAATAAGTAAATTCTCCCATTAAAATGTACAATATAATACAATATAATTCTACTAAGCTTAGTTTAATGAAAAAAAAAAAAAATTATACAACCGAAAAAAACAGGTGGATTTCTTCTGGATAAACCGGGATCAGCGTTCGTTCGAGTGGTTCGTCAATTTGCTTTCACAGCTCGAGATGGAGCAAGCCGAGCTTGGTGCAACAATGGAACGATTTCTGGAGATGCACATGTATATAACCAGCGCACTTCAAAAAAGCGACATGAAGGCTGTTGGGCTACAGCTTGCCTTGGATTTACTTCACGAAAAGGTAAAGCGTGAAAGTGGTTTGGCTTTCCATTGAGCGTGGATTGGAATACTTTAGCTGAAATATTTTTAGTTTACACCCAGTATTAGATACTAATTAAATTGAATAAAAAATAATGATTCTGGATTTTATTCCATGGTATTCACTAAAACTTTAAAGATCATTACTATCAAAAATAATCCGTCCACAAATTAACTCAATATTTTACGTCACACTTTATTTTATGTTTATAAAAATATTTTGTTTTTTCTTTATAATTTTGTGTACACTAACATTTTTTTCTATCTTTGTTTTACAGGAGAAGCGAGATCTCATTACTGGACTAAAGACTCGAACAAACGCTGGTAGACCAAACTGGGACAAAGTTTTCAAGCAGCTGCAGGACCAAAAAAAAGGGAAGGTGACGGTCTTTTACTGTGGACCACCACAACTTGGTCGCATCTTACGTTACAAATGTGATCAGTTTGGCTTTGGTTTCAGAAAAGAATCATTTTAAAATTTGTTTTTTTTTTCCATGCATAAATGTTTTTATCAATTGTATTCCACTCATCTACATGCTTATTGGATTAATGTAAAATCTGTTTAGTTTTCTTCGAATATTTGTCATAACTACGAAACAATAAAAAAAAAAAATGCATAAGTTCGTGAAATAGCGATTTCATTAGTAGTTTATATTCAATTGTATTTTTTTATTGATAAGTTCGTAAATACGAAAACATAGAAAAATGCGATTATTTACTATTCAAGTCTTTAAGTATATATAAGTATCGAATTTTTTATATCATAGTTAAAGCTACAATAAGCATCATACTTAATTTTGAGTTATAATTATTGCATATTCAAATCGGAAAATCGAAACAATTAACCATATTGGATTATAAATATTTCTGATATGCAAATTTTAATTATTTTCGTAAGTCGTATTAGTGACAGTTGTATTATAAATGTTCCTAATTAGATTGTCTTTAATTCTTACTATTTGAAAGTCCTAGGCTTACAGTATTTTTTATCGTGACCATCAAATATATGTTTTAGCAATTTTTTTTTTTTTAATGATAATTCAATTACACCTCCCTATGTTTTAAATGTTACTCTAAACTTTTTTATAATTTTGGACATCACCTATATTTTTCGCTGTAAATATTTCTATGTTTTCAAATGTTTTTATATATTTTTATATTTTTAAAACGATGCTTTACAGTTATAAGTTGTCTTTTGAATATATTTATCTATAAGAAAAAATAGCTAGCATCATTAAAAAAATCAGAACAAATATTTTTATAGTGATCGTTAAATTTTTATGTGCAAGAAAGCTTGATGAAAATGTTTATAAAAAATGTATAGTCTGAGAGTGTAAATGGTGGAAGCTGAGAAACAGAAAAAGTCGTCATTTTCCCCTCGTCAACCTAATTTTTTGGAACGTTTTTATCCTGTCTATTTTTTTCAGATTTCGCATTCAACAAAATCAAAGAAAACATCGATTCTTCCAATTAGCTTCAAATACTAGCACATTGTTTTTGTATGATTTTAAACTCCCAGAGTTTTTAAAATTCATTCTGATAATTAATATAAATTAT